AGAAATATGGCCAAAAGTTCATTCAAAGTATTGGAAAATTCAGGTATATTTATATATATATTAAATACATTCAATTTTCTATGCATGTTGTGTTGCATCTGTGTGAGAGAGAGAGAGAGAGAGGGAGCGGTAAAAATATATTTATATATATTAAAAACTATATTTATATATAGTTTTGTGTGAGTGTTTGTGTTTATGTGCTTGTTGCTTTGAGAACTTCAAAAAATAAAATTACAAAAAGAGTGCGGCCTCTATTGTATGAGTAAATTATAAATTAGTTTTCTTAAGGAAACTAATTAATTAGTTTTTTATTTTAAAAATTAATTATTTAATTTTTTTATTGTTATTGACCATGCATAATGTAATATTATTGTATTTTAAAAATGTCATTTTCATCCATCCTTGCATATATATATATATATATATATATATATATATATATTTTTGTACTTATTTTTTTAAATATTTTTATCAATTAGGCAGTATAAAGACATCCATACATTTATAACTTACTCTTTAATATATGAATTATCGATCAGAAGTTTGTAATTAAAACACCAAATCAAATTTCTGGTGGGTTTTTAGGTTAAAACATAATTTTTTTCTGAAAAAAATGGCAGATAATTCATGTAGGAAATGGTCATTTTTTATAGGGCTGTTGCAGGAAAATTAATGGAGAGCATGCACCCCAGTGATGAGAATAGAAATAAAAATAAAAAGACTAATTTATGCATTTCTCAATTGTAATATGTATTAAAAGAGCACCAACAAACTTAAGAATGCAGAAACAGTCATAACAAATATAAAAAAACCACTTCAGAATGTAGTTTAATTGTAAAATAGTTGTTTTTTTTTTTAATTAGATAAAATATTCTGCATTATAATTCATACATTTCTCAATTAGATATTCTGTATATGTTTTAATCCAAACTTCTGATTGATAATTCATACATTTCTCAATTATACATTCTGCATGCTTGTTAATGTCCTTGTCAGTCAATATTTTTCCATCTAATGTGCAATTGAAAGACAGTATTATATAATTATCAATTAGGCCCCTACTAATTCATACAATATTTTATGCAATTAAAAAATATTATTATATATTCGGGTTAATGGATCAATCTCCTTATATAATATAATTATTTTTTTGTTTGTTTTTATATCTTCAATTGACCTAATTTCATCTTTAAATATACATTAAATGTCCGATATATGATTCTAGTAAGACGTTTAGATTAAACTATCGAATTATTCACACGATTAATTTACACATAAAAACTTTTTATTGACGGACTTGTAAATGTATTTTGAAAATAAAAAATAGTAATACAAATCATGTGAATCATTTCAGCAATTTAGTATGAAAATCTTGACAAAAAAAAAATATATAGGAGCTTTTCAAATATTAAATTGACTTAATTAAGAATATAAAGACAAAATAAAGAGTTATTTTATTCTATAAAAATAGAATAAGCTATTAAGCCTACATAATTTGAAGAAGATTTGATAGAAAATTTTTTCATATATATCTAATTTTTTTATATGAAATATTGAAAATTAGGTAATGTGTTAATAAAGGACCCATTTGCCTAATTACAATGAAATGGGGGCATCCGTAGTTAATTTATGGATGTTCTTGACTATATACACACACGTACATATGTGTGTGTGACGTGCATGATGCATATAATTGATTAACATGCATGATGCATGTATTGATGAATATATTAATTAATTTCAGGAGCTATTTTAAATGCCAAAAGAAAAAATGTACGGTAAAGAAGCGAGTGGAGTGGTCCGACCCTCAGAATCTTCGAATATTATACGACGGATCGCACAATCATGCCTCGTCTGCACAAGATTCTTCTGCTTCCTCACAAGGGATTTCTTCATCAGCTGCAACTGCAAACGAGTACAACTTGTACACTCAAGTTTTTGGAGATCAACCAAGTTCAAGCACCCATGATGATCATCAAGATCATACTTAGTTCCTCCTTAATCTATATATATATATATATTGTTTGTCTACCTTTTCTTACCTACCTAACTACCTACTACCATTAATTAATCTCTCGATCTGCTCACTGATCGTGTAATAATTAAGCCCTCACAGTTAATTACGTGCTGTAAAGATGCCATATTCCTTGACAATTAATTTGTTAGATATTAGAAAATGCTGTAAATTAAGATGCCATAGTTCTTGACAACTTGTTTGTTAGATATTAGAAAATTAATCCACAAACAAGGGATTGCATAGGACCAATATCCAGGCGTTGAGTTATACTAATTTTTCAAAACAGTTAATTAATTATTTTTTATCTATTTTCTGTTTTATGATATATCATGACGTGTTAGTAAGTCAATCAAATCTATGACTTCTGGCAATATAATTAGTTGACACTTGACAGAACCTTTTTTTTTTTTTTTTTTTTTTTCTGTTCTGCTGTCACCAGGATAGGAAGATCTGTACCATGGGGAAAAGTTGCTGTTCATGGTGAATGGTGTTAGAATTCTTGATACTTGGTGGTGTGACCCCCTCATCCTAATCAAACAGATGTTTTACAGCTCAGGCATGAAGATTTTTTCATTTGATAGACCTTTTTTACCTCTTCTAGTCAGCATTTAGGTTGGAAGTTGGTAGTCTTGATAGAAGTCTTGTAGTTATAGAGTCAGGAGGGGTAGGAAAATTGGCTGCAGGTGATGATGCACCACCACCGGCAGCCAAATGTAAAACTAACACAATAAGGTCTAAAATATAAATTGCTTGCATTTCTTCAGTTCGACTAGTGCTTATGATTGATTTAACGTTTTGTTCAGAACTTGCAAGCGCTGCACTGTATCAAGTGATGAAGATCTACCATTGTCGCAGACTATTCTTGCCTGTTACGTTCATTAACTTGCCAGAATCTTGCCCCCTCCATGAATTTGTCCATTTGGTGTTTCACACTTGCACATATCTTCACAATCTCATCTTGCTCGCAGACACAGTTCAATCTTTTGCCGAAGTTGCTCAAAGAAATTCTGTCATTCCTTACATCAAACGGTTGATAACAAGACAAGCAAGTTCCTAAAATTATCAGAAACTTCAGACTTATAACCGCCCATTGGTGCCACAGAAAATCTAGATTAAAGCTCAAATGATGGGCTATTTGCTTTGGTGGGATCGATCAAGCAGGCTTGTTGACCCGTTCAGGTTAAAGAATCAGGATGAAAAGTATATACCATGCCATCGTATGCCAGTACTACAATACGATGAATATCTGACATGCAATAAAATGACGTCATTTAGCTAGGTTATTTATCAAGGAAAAAAAAAACCTGCTAGGTTAAAAAAATTTAGAGGGACCATTTTAGTGCAAAATTTTCTGCTTATATGAATACGATCAAGACTGTTCTTGAAGCCCGATTAAGTATGGGCCTGGCTCAATTATTTACTACCACTAATTCTTATGGTCCAGTGCTGGATCTCAAACCTGGTTGATGGGTTAGTTCCTTTTGTTATCACTGAGATTTATGAAATCTAAAGTGAACATGATGAAAAAAAGAAAAACTTATCGAAGGGCAGATTAGCTATTGTTGGGAAAAAAAAAACAATAATAAATTGAGACTTTTCCATGTTTCTTTCTATTATGTTCTTTGAATTTAAATTATTAAACTTAAATTGAATGAATGCAATTTAGAGTATGATAAACCACAGATTGAGATTTTTATATTTATTAAATTTAAATTATTGAATTCAAATCAAATGGATATGATTAATTGATAATAGAACCTTAAAATGAAATTCTCTCGTGTTTATTTCTATCACATTCTGACTTATTTCTTAAATCTAAATTATTAAATTTAAATTAAATTAGACATGATTTATGATGAAATAAAACAATAACTTATTTTTTTCTCTCATCTAATTTCAATCATTTTTATTATAGAAAAACATAATTTCATCAGTAATAAAAATAGTACATAACCATTTTAATTTTTACAATATTCAAATAAAGATTACAAACATGATAATCGACTCTAACCAAGCGAAAAACAAACTTGCTCACTCAAATATTGGAGCAACAAATCACCATTCTACACTTGACACATGGGTGTTTCTGATTGGCCACATCCAAGCAGTTGTACCAAAAACTACCGTAACAAAGTAATCAACAAGACAACTCAGCCACTACGTTCTAGATTGTTCTAATATAAGACGAATCGAACGGCAACATGGTCTAATCAACGGTCTGGATTGACTGGAACCTTCAAGACCAAATCCCAAATAAGCTCATCACATCATTAAAAATAAAAACCTACTCTTTCTTTAGCTCTGGAAGTGCGAAGAGAGTGACAAGAAGATAAACCTACATACCCTTACCCAGCCACCATCGCCTCTTATCCATAAACCCCGTTTCTAAAACCCTGCACCGCCACCGGCCGTTTCATTTATCTGTAAGCTCTCAGACCTACTTCTTCTTTCCCTTTTCTTTGCCTTTAGTGCTATAAAGTTTCACTCTTTAAACTGTTTCTCATCATTTTTTTTTTTTTTTTGCATGCTAGTCTAGCTAAGTTATGAAAATTTGCCTCAAGTTGGCTACTTTATTTCAGTTTTTGTTGTTTTGGCTCATGTAGGGAAATGGGTTCTTTTATTTATGCTGTTTCATGCTTAAAGTAATGCAATTTTGTCAGGAATCCACTTGTTCCTGCAGGCCTTATTGGTTGGTGATTCTAATGAGTTGAATAAAGAAAATTTATTTTTATCTTCTGGTTTTTAATATTTGTTTTTGTGAATTGTTTAGTTTTATCACATAGCTCTATTGCTTCATGGGAACTGTGTTACTGTAATAAAGTGAATTTAGCTTGTAAGAGAATTGTGATTGGATTTTGTTTTCCTGAAATTTTAGGTAGAAAGTATAAAGATTAAATTCTACTTGACCTTAGCAAGAAATCAATCCTTATAGAAATTCATTCTCTCTCGCTCTTTTTTGTGCATCAGGTATTAAAGAATAAAAATGGCATCAACCTTTACTGCCTTGTCCTCAGTTGGAACCTTGGCTGTTCCTAATGGCCGTGTTATGGATAAGAAGTTTGCATTTTCTTCAAACAAGTTGTCATCTTTCGCTTCCATTTCCGCAAGTCGATTTGCCCGGCCACAGAATGTAGTTCTATCAAGATCGCGTTCTCTCAAGGTTAATGCTGCCAAGGAGCTGCATTTCAACAGGGATGGTTCGGCAATTAAGAAACTGCAAGTGAGTTTGGGATACTGGTTTTGTTTAGTATCTGCTTCATGTTGCATTTATGTTTTGTATGGTGTTGCCTTTTGCTTACAAGATTTGTTCTTTTATTGCAGACTGGTGTGAACAAGCTTGCAGATTTAGTTGGGGTTACCCTTGGACCAAAAGGCCGGAATGTTGTTCTTGAGAGCAAGTACGGTTCACCAAAAATTGTTAATGATGGTGTGACTGTTGCCAAAGAGGTGTGCTTTCTCGGGATTGTTTGTTTCTCGGGATTTCTATCCTTTTGTCTCATATCTTCAAAACATTATGTGCACTCACAAGATGCGTACTAGAAATTGTAGCAGTAGCTTTCCAATTTGGACGAGGCAAACTAACTATGTGGCATTCTGCTTATATCGCTTTGTTATTCTGTATAAATTTACGAGCTTTGTGGCTTTCTTGTGGCGTGATGATCATTAACAGAATGCCTTACCTTAACTTTTCCAGGTTGAATTGGAGGATCCAGTCGAGAACATTGGTGCCAAGCTAGTGAGACAAGCTGCTGCCAAGACAAATGACTTGGCTGGTGATGGGACTACAACATCTGTTGTTCTTGCGCAAGGTCTTATTGCAGAAGGTGTCAAGGTCAGCATGATGGTTCATACAATATATTCTTTGAAGATATGCAGAACATGGAAATCTCACCCATTGTTTTGTTTACAGGTTGTGGCTGCTGGTGCAAACCCTGTTTTAATCACTAGAGGCATTGAGAAGACCGCAAGAGCTCTTGTAAATGAACTTAAGTTGATCTCAAAAGAGGTATGTAAAGTGGGGTAGACCATGCATGTTGGTAATTACCACTATGCCACTGTCACCTTTGTATATATGGATTGAAGTGCAGAGAAAGGACTGAGTGAATATAATTTGGGTTTGCAGGTTGAAGATGGTGAACTTGCAGATGTGGCAGCTGTTAGTGCAGGAAACAACTATGAAGTTGGGAATATGATAGCTGAAGCCATGAGCAAAGTTGGTAGGAAAGGAGTGGTAACCCTTGAAGAGGGAAAAAGCGCTGATAACAGCCTCTATGTTGTTGAAGGAATGCAGTTTGACCGTGGTTATATCTCACCTTACTTCGTCACTGATAGTGAAAAAATGGCTGTTGAATATGACAACTGCAAGGTATGTTGGTCACAGTCAGTCATGCAAGCCTTTGCAGTTGATTTTTCCTCTGTGTTGACGATTTTGTATGTTTTGGTGCAGTTGCTTCTCGTTGACAAGAAAATAAATAATGCTAGAGATCTTGTTGCCATTTTGGAAGAAGCAATTAGAGGTGGATATCCAGTTGTAATAGTTGCCGAAGACATCGAGCAAGAAGCTTTAGCAACTCTTGTTGTCAATAAGCTTAGGGGTTCTTTGAAGATTGCTGCCCTCAAAGCTCCTGGTTTTGGGGAGCGGAAGAGCCAGTACCTTGATGATATTGCTATTCTGACTGGAGGTCAGTGCTTTACTTTTGGTTTCTTCTCTCACTATCTGATTCAATTTTTTGTTCATGATGCTCTTCTATTATGTTCCTTCAAGGTGGATGTGAATGCCCTCATCACTTGTTTGCTGCTTAGTGGATATGAATGTTCACCACTGACATCAGTATTTTATTTTGCTGATGTTGGAGAGATTTCTTTCATTGTGTTCTCAGGAACTGTTGTCAGAGAAGAGGTGGGGCTTGCTTTGGACAAAGTAGGCAAAGAGGTCCTGGGACATGCTTCTAAAGTGGTTCTTACCAAGGATACAACCACCATTGTTGGTGATGGAAGTACCCAAGAAGCAGTAAATAAGAGAGTTGCACAAATTAGAAATCTCATAGAGGTGACAATTCTGTCTCCTTACATTTCCCTCCTAACAAAAATGTTTGTGTTTTTTTTTCCCCGCCCTCCAGTAGTAGTTTGTTGTTGCTAAATGCAAGATAATAAAATACAGGCTGCAGAACAAGACTATGAAAGGGAGAAGCTCAATGAAAGAATTGCAAAACTTTCAGGAGGTGTGGCAGTGATACAGGTAATTTTTCTCTCACTTACGAAACAGAGACACAAAACTGTGTAGATAGTATCTTCACTTAAATAGCCATGCTTTTGAATGTTAAAGGTTGGAGCGCAAACCGAGACAGAGCTTAAAGAAAAGAAACTGAGAGTTGAGGATGCTCTTAATGCAACTAAGGTAATTTATCTCACACAACCGTCCTCTGTATTGTTCTATGCTCTAGGTAATTTGTTTGGACTCCATCATTCTTATCCCAATGGTTTTCAGGCAGCTGTTGAGGAAGGTATTGTGGTTGGTGGTGGATGCACCCTGCTGAGACTGGCATCAAAGGTGGATGCCATCAAGAACGGCCTTGAGAACGATGAAGAGAAGGTAATGTGCCAAATCATGATTTTTGGAATTTATAGAATTTTCTGTTAAGGAACTCACGGGAACTTATAGCGATCTGCTTTTGTTCTATGTAAATGTTTTGTCTTCTGAGCTCTGCTTAAAAAGTGCTTTTGCCTCAAATGTTTTTGCTTGATTGCAGGTCGGAGCAGACATTGTAAAGAGAGCTCTGAGCTACCCCCTGAAATTAATTGCCAAGAATGCTGGTGTTAATGGAAGCGTAGTCAGTGAGAAGGTATCTAAATTTCCCAATGTCAAATTATGGTACTGTGTGGTCTAGGATTTCCTGCAGCTAAGATCATTGCTTCTTATTTTTAGGTGCTCGAAAGCGACAATCCTAAGTTTGGATACAATGCTGCAACTGGAAATTATGAAGATCTTATGGCTGCTGGAATTATTGATCCAACAAAGGTGAGTTATCATACTGATTTATTTTGGCAGGTTTCAACTTGTGATATATTTTCCTTTAGGTGTTGTGTTCAATAAAAGCTTCTTTTTGGCTCTTGGGAGTTGTGTGTAGTTTTTGATTAAATATAAGAGAATCGAGAATCTCTGTTTTCTTCGGAGCGGTTCAACTTGTTTTTTTTTGCTAGGATTTTGTTTCGAAACTAAATATAGAAATCTTAAATCAGGTGGTTAGATGTTGCCTGGAGCATGCAGCATCCGTAGCGAAGACTTTCTTGATGTCTGATTGTGTAGTTGTTGAGATTAAAGAGCCTGAACCAGTGCCTGCTGGCAACCCTATGGACAACTCAGGTTTGTTCTTCTGAACTATGAAACCAAGTGTAATTCTGCTGCTGGTGTTCTTCCACTGTTAAGTGCTTTGTTTCTCTAGCGACTGTCTCACCAAGTTTGTGTTCTCTCACTTTGTTCCTGCTACAGGATATGGGTACTGATAAGACTACTGTGCAAGACCATAAGAGGAGCAAGTAAAATCAGAGCCCCTCATAGTAGCAATGATCTTTAGCTTGATGATGGTAAACTCTTTTTTGTAAATTTGATTACCAATGTTGGTAGAAGTTACAAATTCTGGTGAGGGTAGCTTACTGGAATACGGCATGCATTATTGACCTGCAATCACTTGTACAATTGCAATGATTTTGAACCTTTTTTGAGTTATAAGTTCCATCTTTGCTCATGCTCTCGTTGCTCAACAATTGCTAAATCTGACGATCTGTTGATGTCACCATGAATGGTTGGTCAATAAATACCTACATTGTTACAGCTTCATTCCCTTAATTGTGTAGGGAGTAATAAAGTCCATTGTCAATAAATACCTAGATTTTTATAGCTTCATCCCTTCGGGAGTGTGTAGGGAGTGAAGTTAACGTATTGCCCCAATAACTTGATGATGGTGACGATCATAATACAGCCATTGGATTAGAGTAGGTGCTATATGAAGAAACCATCTACCACTCTATATTATTAAAAGATGGGCATGCCCTAGAAGGTAAATACAGGTGTGCATCCATGTGTTCGTGATAAAATACATGTAAGCCCTAGGTGCTCTTTTTGAGCAACATGAGCATCATAGGTTAAGGACGATTAATTTTAAAATTGCTGGACAGAAAAATAAATAATCACTAATCGTTATATCTTCGCATTAGGGGAACTCCATCCATTATGAACAGGGATCTAAACTAGTCTTTTTAACTTGTGATTTGTGGGAGAGACAAAACGTACTACGTAAAGGGAAGTGAGGTGTGATGTCTTGAGCATAGTTTTTGCTGCTCTTATTGTAAATTAATCTAACGATGTTATTATAATATTAAAATGATAATCGGATGTTTTGAAATAATAGTCTCTTAAAACTATGGTTTTGAGCTTTCATTTGCCTTCGAGGCTAGAGGACATGATGTCTCACTCATGTCCCAACTCCAGCTCCAGCTGATTCCTATTGCTGGACCGAAGCCCTGAAATCCTCTCTCTCTCTCAGTACCAAGAACAAAAAATGAGTGGTGAACAAGGTGAGAGAGACACCAATGTTCTTTTGTTCATGGGGTTTTAATGCACGGCTCCAACAACAATGGAACGAAGGCATGATTATGCAGTAGTAACACTCGCATGATTTTTTTTTTTTATCAGTAAGGAGAAGACTAGTTAGTTTTATTCATAAGTTTTGGTCGGGTTTCTTCATGTGTCATAATGGTATATGAAAAAATTTATAATATTCAAAGACTAATTAGTAGATATTTACAATTGTAATTCTATGGATTCATGATCCACATTTTAAGGGAGAGATAGATCTATAAAAAAAAAAAAAAAAAACACATTTGGGATTCATCAAAATAACAAAAAGATTTTTATATTGACTTAATTTTTTTTTTAATTTTCTCTTTTTAATTTTTTTTCATATTTATCTCTTTTTATAGAATAATTTAAGTTAGTTAATATTTGATTATTATAAAATTTTATCACATTCAAATTCATCAAAAGTGATAAAAATATTCATATTTACTCAATTTTTTTTAAAAAAATTTCTTCCTATTTATGTTTTTTTTTATATCTATTTTTTTATAGAGTAATTTATGTTTTTTTTTTTAAAGTATTATAAAATTTCTCTTCTAATGTTTAGTTTCATTGTAAAAGTAACGGTAGAAAATTGGAAGTAATAATTTAAAAAAAAAAAGTAGAGCGAAGTAGAAGTAATAAATTCTGTTATAACAGTTAATAATGGATCCGAACTCCCCGCCACCCCGCCGCTGCTACAGTTTTCTTTTCATTAATTAATTACCCCTTCTATACTACCTTTATTACTATTTACCCAAATACCAATATTTTAGAATTTACAAATGGATAACGGGGAGAACCAACTTGGCCTGAAAATGACTCTACATGCCTAACGTTTTTCTTTTTATTTTATTTATTTTTTCCCGTAGAGATAATATTTTGAGTAGATTTAGAATTCTATCCCATGGTTTTGAATTGGAGATGATCATCCAAATCTCTCATTATCCAAACAAAGTATCGGCTAATGCTAACTCTAATCACGTCATTGTTTTCCAAAACGAAGTTTTGATCGTGGTTAATTTAATATCGTTTTGTTTTAAAAAAAAGTTTTATTTTACCATCAATTTTTTTTTCACATGTCTCTCCTTTTTATATAAAAAGGATCAATTAATTTATTTCTTCAAACTACAGGGACTAATTTATAATTTACTCGTTTTTTAAACCCCAAATGGAAAAAAAGAAATGAAGGATTAGACCGACTAAAAAGAGGATGATGGTCTTTCCAATTCCTATTTTCATAAAACAGAAGAGAAGGGGGAAAAAAAATTGGAAAAAGCATGAGTCTTTATCAACTTACACAAATAAAGCATGAATCATGATGCACGTATGCCCATCCATTGGATGGTATTAGGTACCATCAAAATTCTAGCAATCTAAATTTTCTATCTTTTTGACTTTTTTTTCTTGATAGTAGTGGTCAAAATCTGATTTTTTTTTGTCAATTACCAAAATTCCCTAAACAATAATACCTAGCACCAAACAAAACCTTTTTTTTTTTTTTTTTAAAGTGTAATAATCCTGGAAGCCTGCAATGCCATGCAAGGGAAGTTTTGCTTTGAAACAAAACTTTGATTGGTTTAGTTTATTTGATTGGAATTTCCATTGAATTGCTAACTGCTCAACCAGAAAGAGACCAAACAAGAAAATTCCAATCATTTCAATTACTTGGAAGCAGCCAAAAAGGATGAGTAGAAAGTTAAAACAAGACCCTAATAATAATAATAATAATTAAAAAAAAACGATAGTAAAACCTAATTAATGTTAACATTTATTACGTTAATAATAAATATGTTAATTTCTAGCAAATAATTCATATTTTATGATGACATGTTCAGTGTCATTAGACCCGCATTAGATTTATTGGCCTTGATCCGATCAAATTCGATAATACCTACGACTGACTAATCAAATTAAGTATTGAACTGTTTTTAAAAAATAATTATAAGTTGTTGAATTCGATTACCTCTTCCTTTTAACAACTAGGTATTTACAGATTTATAATTTTTTTTTTAATTTAAAGTAAGTTATTAAAAATATTATATTACAATAACCTCGTACTTTTGACCGGATCAATGCTTTGGTCGAATTTAATAACATTGGTTGTTATAAGAAGCAACGACTCGAAACAAACAAACCTAGGAAATACAAGGAAGGAAGAAAAAAGGCATATAGTAAAATAATAAAAAGAAAATAAAAGGAAGCAGCATTGCATTCCATGCATGGATGATTCATAGATAGATAGATAGATAGATGGGTGGTGGTGTTATTATGGTTATGGTAGAAATATAATTTTGTAGTTGGCGTGTTTGTTTGGTGTCTTTTTTGTTGTAATTCTATTCTTAATTTTGGCAATGCCATAACCATTCCATCTCTCTTTATATCTATCTATCTATTTCTCACTCTTAATTGAAAAAACTCTCCTTCTTCTTCACGCCGCCTCTCTTCCTCGCCTTACCAACAATTACTTGCACTCTCTTTGCATTTATATAGATAATTCACTCTATTTAACAAAAAAACAACCGATCATCTCTTATAAAGTTTGTGGCTTTAGCTCCCAAATGCCTTCTTCTTCGTTTACTGTCATCCTCTGTCACTGGTATGTATCTTATGATGTGTCTTTGTTATCACTCATTCAGTCCTCTTTTTATTCTACATTGTTGTTAAATCATTTGAGCTGAATTGGGTTTCTTTTGTTTTGTCTGTTTGATTGATTTTTGCTGTCAAGATTGATTTTTTTTTTTTTTTTTTTGGTTTTTGATGATGATCATGGTTTTGATCATCTGGGTTTTGGTTCTTTTTATGAACTTTATTGAATTATGTTTTTTTGGAATTGTGTAAAGCAATGAGATTTCTGTGTTTTGGTGGTTTTTTTTTCTGTTTGGACGTAGAAATCGAGGAAAAGCAGTGGTCTTTTTAATGGTTTGATCATGTCGATGATGGTGATCATGGTTCCAGTCCCAGAGTCGTTTTTAGGGTCTCTTTCTCTCTCTCTCTCTCTCTCTCTCTCTATTTTATGTTTTGTTTTGTTTTTATTTTTTATTTTTTAATCTGGGGTTTTGTTCTCGATTGATTATATAGTGTAGAATCTTATGGTCTTGACTGATGAGATGAGTCCAGCTCTTGTTGTTATTTGATTTTTTTTTTTTTCCCTTCTTGTTCAAATCTATTTCTGATGTCAGAGATTGTGGTGGTGATAGCTCATAGTGAGAAATGAATTGATGATTGTTTCTGGCAAATTTAGTTTTTGTCATTTCTTTTATCAATATTGTTTTCCTAATGGGTGGTATTTTGTGTTTCAGAATTTTACTGCATTGAAGAGCTTGTTTGTGGATCTACATTGTCTCATAGACATTGCTAGAAAGGAATTTTTAAGCACATTGCAATTTATATGATGGAAGATCAAAGAACTGAACTAGAGTTTGATGAATTTGAGAAGCTTCTCGGAGAGATACCAAATGCTACTTCCGGAAATCAGCATTCTGCTGATGCTGGACCTAAAAGTGCACCTCTAAATGTTGGCTTGGCACCCATTTCTGTGAATTCCTGCAAGGGGACTTTTATTGAGAAACTTGAAAGCAATGGGAGTGTGAATGGCAGACAAATTTTGGCAAATAAAACTCAACAATCTCCTATCAAGAATGTTCAGTCAGAGGAAGCAAATTTGCCAGATGACCAATCCCTGACATCTGCATTTGCAGAATTGAGTTTTAATACCGGGAGTGCTTTGGCGAATTGTAAATCGTTACCTAATCCTGCTGTATATACAAACACCATGAATAGTTCACTCTCCAATTCATCAGTGATTGTTGCCTCTCCTTTCCAATTACCAAATAATTTAGCTTCTGGTTTTGACAAGTTTAATGTTGTGAAAGTTGGCCAAGAACAGTCAAATTTCTTAAAATTTGATGCCCGAGAACTGAAGAAGGTGCCAGCTGATTTTTGTCAGCCTCAGCCATTTGAAAACTTCTCCACAGCCTTGCCACCAACTCATGGCATGCAAGGTTTTCAATTGCTTTCCAATGTGGCTGTCACAGGCATGGATTTTCCATTAATGTCTGATCATCAACAATATTTCACTGATGTCCAGTCTTCCCTTCCTTACTTGCATTCACAACAGTTAAACCAGTCTCACATTAGCTGGAGGAATATTGAAGAAGAACAATATTACAGGATGCATCAGCAATACCTATATCTGCAGCAACTCCGTAATCAAAGATTGGAAGCTCAGAGTCCTATTCGAGCAAATGGAAATGTTGCAACCAAGCTGACGAGTCGGAATGTGAGGCAACCATATTTGGAGGTGCCATTCTCTCACCAACTTCAACAATCTAATCAAGAACCATTTTGGAGCAACTACACAGTCACAAGGGGTTTGAACCAATCACAGAATGGTGTACGTGTTTTGGACAAAGTAGGAAAACAGAGTTTTCCTGAAAAGATTCTGACAAGGTCACAAGGACCGAACACACTGAAAGCTTTGAGGTTTGGCTCAGTTGGAGGCAATGAATCACTTGCTCATCTCAACCATAATGGGAAACTTCTATCAAATGCTCACCTTCGCCATAGTCTATCTACTCCTGCTGCTGGGTGCTTTCAGCTAGATCATTTGAACTCATGGAATTTTTCCCCTGACTTTACAGACCTAAAAAGTACTAATATCAGGCCTCAGCTTCTGCCTCTGAAGTATAACTCAGTAGATGAAGTAACTGGTAGAATATATCTCATGGCAAAGGACCAGCATGGTTGCCGCTTCTTGCAAAGAAAATTTTCTGAGGGAACCCCACAAGACGTGGAGAAGATTTTTCTTGAGATTATTGATCACATTGTTGAGCTGATGACAGACCCTTTTGGGAACTACCTGGTTCAGAAGTTGCTTGAAGTATGCGATGAGGATCACAGAATGCAAATACTTCGTGCTATCACTAGAAAAGCTGGGGAGCTTGTTCGGATTTCATGTGATATGCATGGGTGTGCTTTCTGTCTCTATTTGTTTGTGTTTATTTTCTTGTGCCTTCAAGACTCAAGGCTTTCACCTTTCATGCTTTAATTATTTTCTGAACTGCTCTTTTGAATATAGGACTCGAGCTGTTCAAAAGGTTATCGAAACCCTTAAGACTCCTGAGCAGTTTTCCATGGTTGTCTCTGCTTTGAAGCCTGGTATAGTGGCTTTGATAAAAAATATGAATGGTAACCATGTAGCACAGCGCTGCTTGCAGTATTTGATGCCTGAATACAGCAAGGTAAGGGACACATTTATCTTTTTGTATGAATTATTTTGGCATTTCGAAGTTTTTTTTTTCTTAAAAAAAAAATTCAGTGAATTTATCCTCATAGCCTTGTTGCCTGAATCCCTTGAAACTATCAGTATGAAAAAACAATCTTGAGTTTGGTCTTTAGTTTAAGCATTACAAAGCATTTGAAAAGGAAAAAAAGAGGTTAAACTATTGTTGTTACTAGTTATTTCAAGTGAAGAACATGAGTTGGATCCCGGTAGAGTAACATAGATATTCATTCTCCAATCACCCTCATAGCTGATCTTTTTTCAAAACTCTCTCTCTATCTCTCTCTCTCTTTTTTGTGCTTTGAGATTCAGTTGTGACGCAGGAGCTAATATTTTAGTATTTTATTATTTCAGTATATTTTTATTTAATTTTATTAGTTATTAGACATGTTCCTATACGTGGATTGCTAGGGTTATAAGTTTTCTGTGGAAGTTTAATCTAGGGTTGGGATTAAAGCTTTCATTGTAAACCTACTATAAATAAGCTGCAAAACAGATTTAAAGCTCTTTTATTATTATTTTCAACTAATAGTCATTAAAATGATTACTCTGATTATTACTAGGACCAAGAATGCAAACACCAGCTTCCCCTGAAAAAAGGAATGGAGCATTGATTAAGTTCTCATTTGCAATTCTGTTTTTCAAATTGTGAATCAATTGAAATTAGATGTTTCAGAGATTAACTCATTTTAATTCAAGTGGAGTAAGCATATGTTAATATCTCTCAGCTTCAGAATTTCTTCCATCCATCGGTTTTTTCTTGTATCAATTCAAGGGGAATGTTTTCAATTTTAGGAGAATTGCAGTGCTTGAAAAGAAATGTTGCCTTCCAACATTTGTTTTAAGTCTTCGATGTAGATGCAGCAAATGATGTCTCTTTTGCTATAAATCTTACATGACATACAGAGAAAAGCAGATTTTGGCACTCTTTTAAACAGTGGTGATGATTTCTTTTGCAGTTCCTTTATGAAGCTACGACTGCTAATTGTATTGAACTCGCAACTGATCGTCACGGCTGTTGTGTACTTCAAAAATGCCTAAGCCATTCTGAAGGAGAGCAAAGAAGTCGTTTAGTATCTGAGATCACATCAAATGCCTTAATCCTTGCACAAGATCCTTTTGGGTACTATATTTTTTTCTTTCTCTTGAACTTTTTTCCCTGAGCTTTTTTTCCCAAGCCTGTCTATCACAAAGGTATGATGACTTTTTCATATCTTGTACCATTCCGTGGAAGAGTCTGGTTCCACATTTCAAACATGATTAAAGTGGATCTCAAGAAAGAACTATGTGCCAAAACAACACATCACTTCATTCTGCTGACTTTTATTCGGATCCTTATTTTCTTTTTTATTTTCTAGGGTCAGAAAAATGTGAATAATGGGGACTATCACCAAGTATAGCTTTGTTTGATAGAGGACCTTGTGGTTCTGTGAAATTTATTGGTGGAAAGAACAAGTACTTGCACAGTCTTATCATCATTCTAATCAAAATAATTACTCAAAACCTGCTCCAACAATCCCAAATTTTTGTTGTTTGTTTCGTGCTTTACATATTCCACATGTGTGGTTGCTGTTCTTAAAAATTAGTGTTCCAATTGAGATGAACGACTCATTAGTTCTGAAATCATTAAGTACTTTGGGGAATTAAGAAAGGCAAGACTAGTAAGCATTTGTGTAATGCTTCTGATGACAGCTTGAATGGTCCTCTAATGAGGAAGGTAGAAGCCATCTTTTTAATGCATGCTTGGATTTACAACACTTGAACTTTGAAATCTAAGTTTCCATGTTGCAGTAACTATGTCGTGCAATTTGTCTTTGAGCTTCTTCTTCCGTGGGCAACAACTGATATTCTTGATCAGTTGGAGGGTCATTATGGGGACTTGTCTGTTCAGAAATATAGCAGCAATGTGGTCGAGAAATGCCTAAAATATGCAGGCGAGGAGCGCCGTGCTCGTATTATTCGGGAGCTGATAAATAATGCTCACTTGGATCAAGTCATGCAAGATCCTTTTGGTAATTATGTTATCCAGGCAGCTTTGGAACAATCAAAGGTCCGTATTTTGATTTTTAATTGACATTTTTTTCCCAATAAAATCATGTGTCTGTCAGTTCTCCCCTTAAAGAAAGATTTGCATGTATTCATTTGCTTTTGGATTGTTCTTATTGTTGTCTTTTCTAAAGTGTCCTTTGGAGGATGTAGTCTTATTTTCTGATTTCTGTTTTATGAGGGAAAAAGAAGCAGTTGGTGTTGTTTAAAATGAAACTGATGAATTTGTATTGTCATTTGATTGTGGATCCTTCTTTAACTTGCTGAACAGGGAGCTCCTCATGCTGCACTGGTGGAGGCTATACGACCCTATGTTCCGACTCTTCGAACTAGTCCTTATGGGAAGAAAGTCCTATCTGGTCATAATTTGAAGAAGTAATCTGCGAGTATGATCTCATAGAGCTTTTCTCCTCGACATTACGTAGATTCTGCTTACCCTTTTTGATTATACATTTTGTGTGGTATTGCAGACTTCATGTCCAATCGCTGAAGAAGTTCCTGTAGATTTGGTTTCAAGATTTTGATGCTTTGACGTGATGAGAAAATAGTCAAAGATGCATTCATAGCTCATCTGAACAGATGAAAGGTGAACTTGTTGAGCATTTTTTTAATCACCATAACAGAAAATTTCGCGTGACACGGGACCCGCATGTTTGTAGATCAGATTTTTCTTTTTTTCTTTTTTTTTTTTTCCTTTTGCCAGGGAATAAAAGAAATGTGAGGTGTAGAATACTTTGAGCTTATGGGGGTTACTTTAATATGGGTTTTTTGGATGGAAGCTCAAGAGTCGAGGATTGGCGGGTGATTGCAGGTTGGAAGAGCTTTATAAGCTGACCTGATTTCCATGCCTGACTTTCATTTTTGTGGTGTACATTTCGTGTCCATAGATTGCCAAAGATTAGAGCTTTGATTTGTCATATAAATATTTAAGGTCCTAAGTTTGCCATTCCCGTGTTTGTCTTTTTGACGATGTAATGTTGTTGTTTATCTAGATATTTGTGAAGTAATAATGCCGTTCAATGTTACTCAAACTCTGTAATCCTTTGGTCTTTCTGAAAATCAACTTCATCTTCTTTCTTCTGTGCTGTGAAGTCAATAGTGACATGACCTATGTAGAACTATTTTCGACTTGCCCTAAAACTCCATTTCTATTGACTTAAAAATCTAGGAGGATTAGATGGTCAATCTGGTAGGAATTAGGGTGTCACACCTATTCTCTGTTCTTCATCCTGATTCCCACCAACCTCGTGAAGGAGTGGACAGGACAAGAAGACTAGTGTTTCATCCTTGGAGCTTTTTGTGTCATTAATGCCATATCGAAACAGATGAATGGGCGATGGAAGAGTATGGAGCGAAGGGCGGAATGTAGGAGAAGACGTCATGTGATAAATGCAGGATCATATTCATTCATCTATGTACCAATTAGAAAGGAAGAAGATGGGAGCATTTTGATGCTAAGTAGTGAAGACAAATCCTAGGAATCATGAAGACAAGACCAGTATAGACGATGACAAGTTGCTTCCACCCTAAGTTTGGTCCACACTTTTACTGAATTTGAAGTTATTTAAAAATCAGTGTTTTTTTAAACTTTCAATTTCAGATAGGACCTCGAGTAAGTTATTTTTCAGTTGAAATTGAATCTTTTTATTATAGTTTTATCAATTATAAAGTGTCAGTATAATTTTTTATAAACAATTAACGAATATTTTTAGAAGGAAAAAAAACCATTTATAATATTTGATGCATTTTTAGATGTCGGAGAAGTTAAAAACTCAAATATGTATAAATCACGATTGTTTAAAATTGATGAAAACATAATTAAAAAAATCTAATTTTAAATGAAAAATAATTAGAAAAAAGTTTAATCTAAAATTAAAAATTGATTTTCAAATGACTTAAAGATCATAAAAAGAAAAATTTAAACCATTTAGCTATAAATTTATGAACACAATTATGCATGATGAGCCCATAAAACTACAATATCCATCAAAAACATATTTAAATATATCTTAATATTTCTATTGATTTCATGACCCACAAATCAATATGCTATTTATCATATTAATAAATATTAGCATGACAAAAAGACATGTTGATCCTTAGATCAGCATATTATAATTGGTTAAAAAAAATAAAATGAAAAGAAAATTCCATATTTGGTATGTAAAATGTAAAATATATGGTACTCCACAATCAAGAATGTGGCTTAGCCACGTGTCCTTTAAAGATCCAGTCATACCTTTCCCATTAAGTCTAGCATGACAATAGCACGTGGCGAAACATAATTGGAGTAGGACACAAGGAATGTCTTAGAGCCACTAGTGATGCACCTGTAATCCAAGCCTCTTCTTTGAAGCCAATCTCTCTCCCTCTCCCTCTCTCTCTCTCTCTCTTTCCAAATGGAAAGCAGCACTTCTCTTTTACATTTTGATTGCTCTACGTTCTGAGGAGCTGAAGAAAAAGCAAAAACCATGGCTTTAGCTCCAAGTAGATGTCCTTCTTCTCTTTACTCTTCACCATCATTACCAAAAAGTAGTGTCCAAGTCAAGCAAATCCCGCTTCTTTTCTCTCAAAACACTCGCTTTTTATCCAACAACTACTCATTTTTCAGCACTCCAACAACTTTCTGCAACACCCTTTTGCTAAAACCATCAAATTCTTCAATCCTCAGAGCGTCGGAAACTGAGTCCCAAATATCAAAACCTGCAGAGAGTGCTGGAAGTGAAGGAGCAGGAGAAGGAGAAGAAAAGTATGAAGAATATGAGGTGGAAATAGAGCAGCCTTATGGACTGAAGTTTACAAAGGGTAGAGATGGTGCTACTTATATTGATGCTATTGCTCCTGGTGGATCAGCTGATAAGACTGGCAAGTTCAGTGTTGGTGATAAAGTTATTGCCACCAGGTTTTCTTTTCTTTCTTTTCGTGTATTTCCTTCTTTAAATTCAATTCAATTAAATCATCAATTTGTAATAATGTGAGCTGCAATTGGTGAATACAAGTGTTTTCTTTATATCTACATAATTTAGGTTAACTTTGGAGTTCTAAACCTCGTGCAGTGCTGTGTTTGGGACAGAGATTTGGCCAGCTGCTGAATATGGGAGGACAATGTACACCATCCGCCAAAGAATTGGCCCATTACTCATGAAAATGCAGAAGAGATATGGTAATTAGTTCACTTGATGAATATGTCTATTTACTCTTGAAAACTCCAATTCATGAAAACTTGCACATATTTGATGTGGAAGGAGTACTGGATATCATCACTTACAAATGTCAAGTTCTGTACTCTTTCAGGGAACATGGATTATGCCGGCGAAATGACAGAAAAGGAAGTTATCAGAGCTGAAAGGAACTCGGGTGTCATTAGTAATAGAGTGAGAGAAATCCAAGTGAGTAACTAGAAAAAAATACAAAAATGCTGAATGTCCATATGTATTCTCTTTGTTTCTTTAAATTGGGAAAGTTTTTGCTGCAAGTAAGATAGCATCTCTGGCTTGTAATTGGTTTTTCAGATGCAAAATTACTTGAGGAAAAAGGAGCAGAAAGAACAAAGAGAAAAGGATCTTCGCGAAGGGCTGCAATTATACAAGTACCTGCTGAAATTCAACTTGTTTCCTTTTTTCTGTCTTTTCATTTCATAGTTGAAATAGCTGGGTCTAGCTCTCTATGATGGATAGACTGATTTCCATAGATTTATTAGCAAATTAGATGACGTTTAAGTGCTAGTAATATGCTTCACTGCAAGCCATAACTAATTCTACATAGTAAAAGTTCTCTTTAATTTTCTTTTTCCTTGGTTGATTGATGAAGAAATGCTAAATATGAGGAAGCACTGGAGAAGTTCGAGTCTGTATTGGGATCAAAACCAGACTATCCTGAAGCTTCTGTGGCAAGTTACAATGTCGCTTGTTGTTACTCGAAGCTTAATCAGGTAATGTATTTATAATCTTGAAACAGTAGCCTTTTCTCTTCCTTCTTATTATCCCTTCTTGGGATCACTGCATTGTTTACTTCTGCAAACTTTTAACAGTTACAAGCTGGGCTATCTGCACTTAAAGATGCACTGGAAGCAGGATTTGAAGACTTTAAGGTAATGAACTAATCTCAGAGATAACTGTGGTGATTTGAAGCAGCATATAGTTTATAAGGTACAGACCATCTGAAGTTCTGGTAATGTTCACAGAGAATCCGGACAGATCCTGACCTATCCAATTTAAGGAAATCTGAGGAATTTGAACCTCTTTTGAAAAGGTTTGATGAATCTTTTATCAACGAGAATGCCATCAACGCCATTAAATCTCTATTTGGATTCAACAAGAAATAGAGTTGCTTCAAGGGTTAAAGAACTAAAGATGGGAATTGCACATCAACTTATATGAAGCCAGGACTGGCCAAACCAGCTACTGCTTCACATAGAACTCCTCTGTAATCTGATACATATATTTTTTTCACAGCTTTAGTTTAGGATGAGTGTTGAAAATTTTTACTATGATTCCCTATGGGCGGTTTCTTATCTCAATTCTTCTTTGGGTACACTCCATGATCTAATCTTCTTGACAAGAAAATTGAAGAGAATAAACAAGAAAAAGTATACTATTTCTCTTAACTGGATATAGCAGAAAATTTACTGCAACCCTATAGAACTTGTGGGCATGTAAACTGTTAAACACAACACAAAAGGCCCTCATTCTAAATAAAATGAACTAACAGAAACTACAAGGGAAATGAGAGAACACAAAGATTTACATCTTGGATTAACTTACATACTTAAATCGAAGAAATACAACAGTACTATTTATACGCAACACTTGTCTCTAGAATAGACAATGTATCAAACAATCCCCCAGATTAAGCCTCCAAGTCCTTCAGCTTAAGCCATTACTTAATCCTACATAATCTCATAATTACGTCTAGTTTACACAATTACACACATAATATTCAAACGAAAAGGATACGAAAACAGACAATCCTGCTTCATTGAACTTCAGAATTTGGATTCTCAGTTTTAGTGGCAGAAGGAAAATGTTCTGGATTGTGGACTTATTGAATATGAGAAACTAATAGTGTTTAACAGCCAAAACAATTGGCGCTTATCGAAATTTTCCTCGCAATGAAAGTTAACGTCTTAGGCTGAGGATTAGTGCAGTTGAAGACGAATCGGAAGACCTTGGGATGGTGAAGGCAAGGGATTATATGTAACTTTCTCATCAGGAATCAGTGAATCCCATTTGAATCTCTTCGCGATGTTATGCAGGAACACGAGGATTACTGGTTTAAGATATTCATACCCCAGGCACATCCTTGGTCCCCCTCCGAATGGAACATAGGTATACGGGACAGGTCCTGCTCCTCCATACCTGGAAGGATCAAAGTCTTCTGCATTTGGGAAGTAAGCTGGATCTTTAATTGTTGTGTCAGGACTCCAGTATAGCTAGCGCAAGCATATCATGAAAACATCAGTTTTATGATCTAAACAAACAATCTGAGCCAAACTTAGCTGAATTGCTGCATAAAATTCGTTTAAGAGTACATGAGAGTGATGGTACCTTCCATCCTTTCGGGATTATATAACCTGCATATGTGAAATCAACTACGGCCTCTCTGAAAGCACCAATAATAGGCGGTATCAGCCTCAGAACTTTGGAGACCACACTCCATGAGTATCTCATTTTCTGAGTGTCCTCCAATTTCAACAACTCTCCTGGTTCTTTAGACTTGGTAATATCACTCTGCTCTGTTAACCACAGGCAATCAATTGTTGTTTGTAAGAAATACTGAAAACCCAATTCAAGAACGAGGGAGGGGGAGGCTATGTCATGTGGAAACAAGAGAAATTTTCTGTTGTTTGTAAGTTCTCACAATCATGTTCTAGAATTTGCTGAAAAACAGTCATATGCTGCTATAAAACAGAACAACCTGCCTCTCAAAAACATTTTATACACCTCCGGCAATTCTCCAAGATACATCATCACACATGTTATGAGTGCTGTAGTAGTGTCATGACTAGCAAGGAGCAACAACAGCAAGTTGTCAACAATCTCGGACTCAGATAGGAACTTTCCACTTGAATCTGCAGTCACAAGCAAATGTGACAGAAGATCTTTTTGTGTGACTCCATTTTCTTGTCAAGAGCTGCTCTTCTTTGTCTAGCAATCAACCGAATCTCTTCCTTGATTGCATTCGCAGCTTTCGGAGCACGGTAACACGTTGTGCCGGGTAAATTGGTAGGAAAATGAATTACTCTTTTGAGAAAGATGTCAAAGTGGTATGCAAGCCGGGAAATGTGTACTGGCTCATCAATGCTTGCAAATATGCGACAAGACAGCTCCTGTTTTCCTTCATGGTCATAAAAAATAGAGTTATATATATATAGATATATGTATCACATAATCCAGAATTAAATTGAAGAGTAACAGTTTAATGGAAAAACAGAATATGTGTAGTAAGATAAAAAAAACAATAAGCAGAGTTTATACCTTCCCAATGTGTCCTAATATGGTTTTGTGCCACCAAATCCATCCTGTCTACGTAGTTCTTGCGTGCATCTCGATCAGCGGAGGTCATCAGTATCTGCCTCATTCTCATAGCTTCGTCACCAACTACTTGAGGCAAACTGAACCTCATCAGCTTCTTCACTGAAGGTGGCCACCAAACATTGAGCAGGTTGTTCACATTGGTGAACAAGAACTTGTTCGCTACTGGTCCAACAAACACAGCCATTGTTTCTCTAAACAGTCTTGAAAACAGGAGTATTTTATTATATTTCTTCATTCTATCTCTTATAAATACCTCAGGTGGGTGATTTATGGGCAAAAACTGTAAGGTTTCACCTATGAGAGGCCATCCTAGACTTCCTGGTGGAAGATTGAGATTTGGAAACCATCTTTCTTTGACTATTTTGATTACAAAATAAAGCAAAATAACGGAAAGACTTCCAATCAGAATATCAGAAGTGGAAAACATTTCAAAATATTGCATTAATCTGGTACCAAGTGTAGTAATAATGCTTGTATTTATAACGGATGGGATAGTTCAGTGGTTGCATGTATGTGGGAGCTTAAACATAAATTAACTGTTGCTGGCATCAAAACTCAACTAATCCCATTTCTTTTATTAATTAAATGACCAATAATAATGTCTCAAGATTTCTAATATATATATATATTCTCCATCAATAAGAAGTAAGCTGGCTTGATTGTTAATAAAATAGACTGAAATTATAGAAAAAGAAATCAGATATATTGAAAGTGATATATGTGTGGTTTAAGATTCCCATTGTGATTACCTCACATTTTGGACACATCTCCTATCTTGCTAGCTCATATTATTAACGATGAAACATTGCCAGCTTTATCTGAATTATTGCTTAAAGTAGAAATGGCTGTTGAATAAATTATTCAGTTCAATTAATAGTCCTGAACAAGATTGATGATTTCAGTAAAACTAACTCTCTATCTGTTTTGTTACCTCGATCTCATATGTATTTATATGACTTAGACGTATAATTCCTACCTGGTCCCAAAACACAGCCGTTGACTCTCCAGAGTCCAGACATTGAAGTCTTGAACACCCGAGGATTATATTTCTCTATTCTATCTCTTACATATCTGTCATGTTGTGCTGAGAGACGTATGTGCGTGAATTCTATAGGTTCAATCAGAATCAGATGATCACAGGGATCTGAAAACATTGCAAATTGCATTCTGCAACTACTGCTTAATTTGATCCATCCATTCTGTCACTTGTAGTGGGTTAAATTTGTGCCAAAATTACAAGAATGAATACGAGTAAATAGTTCATGCTGGATGATCATATTTTCCTTGAAGAGGCGTTGGAAGAAGGATGTGAAGATGCACTTCAATTCTTCTTCTTCTTCTTCTTTTTATTGAATATGGAAAACAAATACATACTACTATTAACGCGCAAAATAACTGGCAACATTGTAGTGATAGAAGTCTGTCAGATGATGGAAACTTAACAAGTTATGCTGAGGACTGGTGTGGCTTAAGTCGAATCGGAAGACCTTGGGACGGTGCAGGCATGGGATCATAGGGAACTTTCTCATCAGAAGTCAGTAAACCCCAGCTGAATCTCTTCACAATGTTATGCAGGAACACAAGTATTTGTGGTCTAGCATATTCATTTCCTAGGCAAATCCTTGGTCCCCCTCCAAATGGAACATATGAATATGGGGCAGGTCCTGCTCCTTCGTACCTAGAAGCATCAAAGTCTTCTGCATTTTGGAAGAGAGTTGAATCCTTACTTGTTGACACAGGACTCCAATATATCTAGTACACACAACACAAAGCAAAACATCAGGTTTCTAGGGAAAACATTAGCCTGACACTAATTTACACAACTTGCTGCATAAAATTCATACAAGAGTACAAGGGAACGAGGAATGAAGGTACCTTCCATCCTTTTGGGATTGTATAACCTGCATAGGTAAAATCAACTATAGCTTCTCTGAAAGCACCGCGTATCGGTGGCATCAGCCTCAGAACTTCAGAGACCACATTCCATGAGTATCTCATTTTCTGAATATCCTCCCATTTCAGAAACTCTCCTCCTACTTTAGAATTGGCAATATCAACCTGCTCTGTTAACCAAACGCAATCAAACTGGTGTTTGTAAGAAACGCTGAAAATCAGAGTTAAGCGGTAGGCAGGCATGTATGAAGTGGTTACAAAAGGATGAAAAACACATGAAAGTTTTCTGCTATGATTGAAGATGTGCAGAATGTAAGTTCTAGCAATCATGTCGTAGAATTTTCTAAGAAGAAATTCATATGCAATAAGACCAATTACTTACCTCTCAAAACCATTTTGTACACTTCCGGCAATTCTGCTAGATACTTCATGACACATGTTATCACTGATGTAGTTGTGTCATGACTAGCAAAGAGCAACAAAAGTATGTTGTCAACAATCTCGGACTCGGACAGGAATTTTCCACTTGCATCTGCAGTCACAAGCAAATGTGACAGAAGATCTTGTGTGGGTGACACTATTTTCTGGTCCAGAGCTGCTCTTCTATGTCTAGCAATCGACCGAAGCTCTTCCTTGATTGCATCAGCAGCTTTCGAAGCATGGTGAAATCTTGTGCCCGGAATGTTGACTGGGAAATGAATTACTCCTTTGAGAAAGACATCAAATTGATGTGCAAGCTTTGAAATGTGCACAGGGTCATCAATGCTAATAAACAGGCGGCAAGACAGCGCGAATGTGTATAAGTTGACAGTTGGATGGACTCTCAGCTCCTGTTTTCCTTTATTGTCATAACAGTTATAATTATAACGCAATCCGACATTTTAAATTTTGCTAACAGATACATTAAATCACGAAAGAGACAAGATCAAGATGGCATTGTCATCGAATTGAAAGGAACCTGAAAATAGTAAGTAATTAAACAATGCACATCCGTAGGAAATACTCCCACCTATCATCATCTTTTCTTTCATTATACTAAAAATTTATCAGCAGCAAGTCATTTATCCAAAACAAAATTCAACAATATCGAAAAACTTGATTTATAATGTGTTTGATAGGAAATTATACAGTTACATACCTTCCCAGTGTGTTCTAATATGGTGTTGTGTGGCCAAATCCATCCTGTCTATGTACCTCTTGAGTGCATCTGGATCAACAGAGGTCAAGAGTATCTTCCTCATCCTCTTAGCCTCATCACCAACTACATTAATCAAACTTGATTTCAACAGCTTCTTCACTGAAGTTGGCCACCAAAGGTTGACCAGCTTGTTCTCATTGCTGAACAAGAACTTGTTCCCAGCTGGTCCACAAAACACAACCATTGACTCTCCTAGAAGCGAAGTCATGAAAACCTGGGGATTATGTTTCTCCATCCTATCTCTTACAAACCTATCAGGTTCTCCTGCGAGACCGGTACCCAAGTAGTCTAAAGTTTCGCCAATGAGGGGCCATCCTAGGCTTCCTGGTGGAAGATGAGGATTTGGAAACAGTCTTTCTTTGAGTGTTTTGGTGATTATATAAAGTGAAAGTAGCAAAACGATACCAAGTAGAATCAAAGCTGAAAACATTGCAATTTGCATCGGATTGGCGTGTGATATGTGAGCTGGGTTGTGTTTCTATGAGATTTTGAACTTTCGAAGGTGCATTTATTCAGTTATGTGTGAACTAAGCATCTCTTGGGGCTTGGAGTTTTCCTTCCAGCTCATTAATGCAGCAGGACAAGGTTAGGTTCTGCTATGAAGATTTGGAGTAGATCCTCTGCTTTCTTTAATATTTTTTTTATATTTTTTTACAGGCCTTGGGAATTAGGATGTCTTCATCTAGCAGTAGCAATAATTCAATGCTGCCAAGATCAGGATCTACACCAAACATGTCTGGCTTGGGAATTGCATTGCATGTGCTTTGACAAAATAGTATTCATTCTCATTTCTCTAATATTTCTATCAAAGTTACAAGATCAAAGTTGGCTCCAAAAACCCTTTTCACCAACCCGCAATATTTCCAATTTTGATCAAAGATTCAGTTTCACACGGTTTCATGAACCTTCCTCTCTTCATGCCATGCCATGAAAACATAAGAAAAATAGATGCAAAATTTTGATTAAAAATTATAAAATTAGATGACATTTTATCTTTAATTTGATGTTATGAAACTAAAGTAAATATGTTTAGTTTGTACGAGCCTAGCTCGAGAAGTCAGTTCCAACTTCCAAGTGTTGATAACTGTTTCAAGTGCAGTTATTCTAAGATTAATCAAGTAATGCCTTGTGGTCTTGAAACAGTATTTTGTTCCTCCATGGAATGGAGTATCAGCTTCTCTGCCGTTTTGACAGTCCTGCTTCGTTGAACATGAGAAAATCAAAATAAATTGTGGATCCACTGAACATGTGAAAGTAGGAGCATTTGAAAGGAATTATTAGTAACAGAACAATAATTTGCAATGCACAAAGTTCAATTTACCTCTTGATGAAGGTGGCCTATCTTAGACTGAGGATTGGCAAGGTTGAAGACGAATTGGAAGACCTTCACATGGTGTAGGCATGGGATCATAAACCACTTTCTCATCAGGAATCAATAAATTCCATTTGAATCTTTTCACAATGTTATGCAGGAACACGAGTATCTGCGTTCGAGCATACTCATTCCCAATGCAAATCCTTGGCCCCCTCCGAATGGAACATATGAATATGGGATGAGTCTTGCTCCTTCAAACCTAGAAACATCAAAGTCTTGTTTTTTTAATCCAAATAGGGCGTTGGATCATCGATTTGTTGAAATTGAACTGTGAACAGACTTGAAGATCTTTATGCAGTATAAACAGAGGAGGACCTGTTCCGTGTGTCTTGTGCTTTTAACACTATCTCGAAATCCAAAGGGTCCAATAAGGAAAAACAGAAGAATCTCATCCTTCTAACACCATCTTGAAATCCAAAGGGTCCAATAAGGAAAAGAAGAAACAGAAGAATCTCCATGGAATTATACGTGTTTCATGCATGGTATATTAAGACATAATAGTTTTTCTAGTCTTTATGAAGGAATTGTTGGTCTTCAAATGTTATTGCTTGGATAAGTAGCGATGTTATAGTATTTTATAGTATATCCGAACTGTCTTTCTCTTCTCCTCCTCTCTTCTTCGCTCGCTCTCTCTCTCTGCCCAGACTCCATGGACGAACCAGAGTTGGTTCGCCCCTCCTTTTCTTCCTTTCCCCTTTCTTTTTCTTTCCTTTTCTAGATTAGATCAAAACCTTGAACTTCCTTTTACCCGAAAATTTCCCCAATTTTTGGCCGAAACTAAGTTTAATTTCTCTCAATTTTCGCTTGATTAGCCTTAATTGGCCCAAATTCTCTTGAGATTAAGTGATCTCAAACCTATTAGAGTCATTTTCTTTAAAAACCCCCAATTTGTTTTTGTCAATTTAGGAACCCAGAAACCCTAGGTTTATTCTTGTTCAATTTAGTTTCAATTCGGGGTCTAGACCCCTCAATTAAACTTCAATTAAGTTCGATTAGTCCTCCTTTTACTTGTTCAACCTTGATTTCAAACTAAACAATAAAACCCCCACATTTGAAAGCCTAACTGCCTAACTCCCTAAAAATTCAAACCGAAATTGACCTGGGTTTGAATTCAAATCATCCTTCCATGTGAATAGAACAAAAAATGCGTGTGTGTGGGATTTGGGGAGGAAATTCGGGGATGGCAGTACTCTACAGCATACGTCTTCTGCTCATAAAAAATGCTTCACAATTAATATTAAAAGCATAATTAAGAGATTTTGTTGGGATTCGAGGATCCATGTCTGTTATCCAGCAACAAAGAGATTGCTAATCAGGCACTTGAATTTTCAGGAGAATAGGTCAGCTCCAATAAAGAGAGGAAGCAAAAACAAAACAGAGTCTTTATCAGAGCTAAGGAAAACTTCCCGATACAGAGAGAGACTGTGTCGACACAAACTAAATACACACAGTGCTAACAGTTCCTCTTCCTTTTGAAGATGCTGTGTCCATACGTTGACATGGCGATCTTAAACAGGAGGGAAATTGCAAAAACATGAAAATTGTAACTGGAACAGAAGCAAGCAACACGATTGGAATGATATCCTCCATCTTTCCTTCTAACATGATTATAAGAGCAGCACAGAAGGCAACCATCATAGTTGCAATAGAAATGCACAATGCGGAAAGGCCGATTATCAACTTTTTGGGCAAGGAGCTGAGAAAATCTTGTTCATCATAACGAGATGTGAGGATTCCCAAGAACATCAGAACCGAAGTTGATGAAGCAAAGAGAGAAATTGTATCCGCTATTATGAAAGTCATGAAAGCATTCTCATGTAAAAACAAATGAATGCCCTTGTCTTGAACAATACCACCCGGAACGGTGAATGCTGCAGTAAAACAAATGGTGAGGATTAAAGCACCCACCACTGTCCAAGAAGTTGCAGTGTCCTTCATCCATTTCTCCCCTTCTATCACCAACTGCTTGTGATGCTTAGTAAATAGCTGGGCTGGAGTTTCACCATTTTGGTTGCGAAGAAATTTAGTTGCTGGACAAACCATGTTTTCCACTTGCTGCACAGAAAAACATTAAGCCACAAGATATGAACGAAACACCTTGTGCATGGTAAATGAGATTATATGCGCACTCAGTGGTTCAGAACAAAATGACTAGCTAGGTTTAGTACTTCAAACAAAGACTCAAATTTTGAAAACATATTATTGTGACGATAAGGGGACTAAGGTTTGAGGAAATCATCACCTTATACCATTGTAATTCTCTTTGCATCTGAAGAGCTGCGCCTGAGATTCGAGCCAACTGAGAGGGAGGTGAAAGCATTCCGGCCAAATGCAACATTGTATTGCCGAATTTATCGACAACAAAACTTAGTTCCCAAAGGAATATATCAATAACTAGGTTAAAAACCTTTTCTTGACGATTTACAATTGAGAGCATAATTGAATTTCTATCATCCTCGTCCAAAGTATTGTAAACAAAAGGAGAAGCTTTAAGTAATTTTTTAACCATCTCAACTAAACCACGCTCAACTGCATTCTTGAAGTATTCAGGAACTCCAATGTCAGCTTGTGCACTTTCATTTAATGTTGGTATATGTTCACAGATAAAACTAACAAGTTTTCTTGAATAGGCGTGGGTCTTCTTCAAATCATATATTTTCATGATTCCTAATTGAAAAAAAAAAAACAAAAAAAACAAAAACCCACCAACAGAATCAGAATAATTAAAGTGATGCTAATGATACAAGAAAATCAATGATCTTGCTATGGGACACATTACCTAAGAATCTGAAGAAATTTACACCAAGGCCGTGCAATTTACCTAACAATTCAAAATGTATGGAAAAGAAATATTAATTTTATAATTATTTCTGCATAAGGAAAGGAAGTTTTTTTACTTCTCCTGCTCATGGACATAATCTTGAGACTAATAAATGGTTTTATTAGATCTAAATTTCTATTTTGATCCGAGGGTTGCATTTAAAAGTTGAAGAGCTTCGAGGTGCAAATCCAACTAAATTTAAAAGCAAGTGTAAGACTAAACAGACCTTTTTACATGCAGTAGCAGACATGCATTCAAGATGTTGGTTTGGGTGGGTAAGCGAGTTTATTTTTCATGTCATTATTTTGGATCTGAATTCAAGAGAAGCTGTGATGGAGATTTTTAATGTCCCCCCGGTTTGGCTGCAAGAATAATTATTCCGTGGTGACTGGTGTGGAATGAGGAAGCTTCCTCCAATCTTCTTCCACTGGAACAGTAAAAGCGAACGTCGACTTTGTCAGACTTGACCTTGTGTCCTGCGTGTTCGAAAAGTCATAGCTATAAAGTGGAAGGCAGTGGGGTAAACGAAGATAACAAGAAGTAACATAAAGAACCACACATTTTAGTGGGAATGGGACATATAATTGACTAAATACACAATTTCCTTGCAAATGGTCCACTACGTGATTTTTCTTGTACAGAGCTTGATTATAAATAGCACTCCAATGGTACGTAAGTTTCAAGCCAACAACTCATTCCTCACTCCATGCTTCCTTAGCTTTATAGAAAGGTATGATCATGAAAATATCCATCAGTTTTGCTACTCTTGTTCCCATTCTTCTTCTTTGCTTGTCTTTTCCACCAACTATTGCTCTTGCCTTCAACCACGGGAACTTCACCAGAGTTCTTTGCAGCTCAACCGAGAGAGATGCTCTCTTGAAGTTGAAGCATGATCTCACCGATCCTTCAAACCGACTTGCATCTTGGGTTAGTGATGAGGATTGCTGCAGATGGCATGGAATTGTCCGTCACGGTAGCACCGGCCATGTCATTGAGCTCAATCTTAGAAGTCTCTCGTTCCAAGAATATCATGATACCTTCCATGATGTCGCTAATCGTGACTACGAAGATTATACAAGGTTATTCTTCCTTAGCGGTAAGATCAATCCTTCTTTGCTCAACTTGAAACATTTGGTGCACTTGGACTTGAGCAACAATGATTTTGGAGGAACTCATATTCCCAAATTCGTTGGTTCTCCGAGGAGTTTGAAATACCTTAACCTATCTCGTGCTTGGATTTGGAGGTATGATTCCTCATCAACTAGGAAACCTCTCAAATCTTCACTATCTTAATCTTGATGTTGGTTATGAATCCTATGTTGAGAATTTAGATTGGATATCCGGTCTTTCTTCGCTAGAATTCCTTGATTTGAGTGGTTTGAATCTCGGCAGAGCCTTTGATTGGTTGGAGGTGATAAATGATGCACTCCCTTCTTTGGTACGATTACATTTGTCACGTCGTCAACTTCCTCCCGTTCCTCTACTTGTCAATGTCAACTTTTCATCTCTTTCCATCATTGATCTCTCATTCACTTACTATTATTCTTCAATCCGTGTGCTAAAATTTCCTAGTTGGATCTCTCATCTCAAAAATCCGGTTTCTCCGAATCTAGGAAACAATTATTTTGAAGGTCCAATCCCTAATAATCTTCAAAACTTGACTTCACTTAGGGAACTTGATCCGTCCGGGAATCAATTCAATTCTTCGATACCCAATCGGTTGTATGGTTTTAGTTGTCTTGAGCTTCTCAACCTTGGATTCAATAACTTACAAGGTGAAGTTTCAAGTGCCATTGAAAACATGACCTCTCTTATCGACCTTGACTTGTCGGACAATTATGAACTCGAATTCAATCGAGGAATCCCTACATCATTCAAAAACCTTTGCAATTTGAAGGTCCTATCTTTGTCATCCCTTAAACTCGAAACAAGATATAGCCGAGGTTTTTGAAATTCGTTAGGATGTGTTTCGGATAAGCTTGAGTCGTTGGATTTGAATGGTTGTCAATTATTTGGTGATTTGACCGGACGTGTAGGCAATTCAAGAATCGGTTTCCCTTAATTTATGGAATAACCAATTGAATGGAAGTCTTCCAAATTGTGTTGGAGGGCTTAAGAAGTTGATTTTGTTAGATATTTCCTACAATTCAATATATGGTCCAATACCTATGTCTTTTAGAGAATTGGCGTCATTGGAGAGTCTAGACCTTTCCAATAATTTGTTGGTGGGTGATGTTTTTGAATTTCACTTTGCAAATCTCACAAAATTAACCCATTTTTATGCTCGGTGGAAACCAATTGATTTTGAGAGTCGATCCTATTGATTGGATTCCTCCTCTTCATCCGGAAGGCCTATCATTGAGTTCATGGAATATTGGACCCCAATTTCCCACATGGCTTCGCTCACTCAAGTATTTATCCTATTTGGATTTATCAAGTTCGAGCATTTCTAGTACGGTTCTCGGCCGGTTCTGGAACTTTTCTCAACTTTCCTTCTTAAATCTGTCTCACAACCAAATCCATGGAGTGATTCCCAATAACCTCAAGCTTGATTTTTCCGTTGTGGACCCAATCGTGGACTTGAGTTCAAATAATTTCAAAGGCCCACCGCCTTCTATATTCGCCAACATGTATTCATTAGATCTCTCCAACAATTCATTTTCCGGGTCCATAATCAACTTTTTGTGTCATAAGATCACGAAAACATAAAAAGCATGCGATTTGTTAATCTTGAAAAAAATCTTTTATATGGAGAAATACTCGATTGTTGGATGCACCGGCAATATTTGATAGGCATAAGATTAAGCAATAACGGATTCGATGGCGGTATTCCCAAGTCTTTAGTGGACTTTGAGTTCGCTCGAGTCATTGCACCTACGCAAGTAATAATCTATCGTGTGAATTGCCGTAGTCGTTTAAAAATTGCGTAAAACTAGTTACACTTGACATCGGTGAAAATGAATTAACAGGAAACATTCCAACATGGATGGGAGAGAGATTATCAAGCATGGTTGTTCTAAACATGCGTGCAAATAAGTTTCATGGCCATATACCCAAAGAGCTTTGCAATCTAGCCGCTTTACAAATCTTGGATCTTGCTCATAACTATCTCTTGGGAAGGATACCAACTTGTGTCTCTAATTTCGAGTGCCATGGCTACGAGAAATGATTCTATCGGCTACATTAAAGTTCATTCTAATTACTCGACATCATACTCGAGAATCAATTTCTTGTGATGAAGAGAATAATGGCCGAGTATAGCACTATTCTCGGATTGGTAAGGAGCATAGACCTTTCTAACAATGCCTTACATGGAGAGATTCCAATTAAAATTATAAGACTTGGAGGATTGGTGTCTTTGAATTTATCACAAAATTCCTTAACCGGAAAAATTCCCAAGGATATAGGTGTCATGCGATATCCGGAATCTATTGATTTTTCTCACAATCAACTATCCGGCCAAATCCCTTCAAGCATGTCAAGTTAGACTTTTCTAAATCATTTGAACTTATCTCACAACAAATTGTGGGGAGAAATTCCTTCGGGAACTCAATTGCAAAGCTTTAGTCCATATGAGTTTATGGGTAATGAACTTTGCGGGCCTCCACTCTCCAAGAATTGTAGTGGAGTTGGTACTACACAAGACCCGAAGAATAGAAAGAATGAAGATGGCGACGTCATAGAGTTTAATTGGTTTTATGTGAGCATGGCATTGGGGTTTATTGTAGGATTTTGGAGCACAGTTGGTCCTTTGTTGTTTAATAGACGATGCGGATATGTATACTTTCATTTCTTGGATAGGTTATGGGACAAAATTTGGTTGTATTTTCATGTAAACCTTCCTAATTGGAAGTTGTGGGCATATGTGTCTTAGGTATTAGTATTATATATTATGTTGTAGCTATGTTTATTTGATGATGGCTAGCACGTGGTCTAGTTGAATAAAGCTGGATTTTTTGTACTCTTGTTTATTTATATAATAAAAGTTTTTTTTCCCGTGGTTTTTTACCTCTATATTAAGGGGTTTTCCACGTAAAATTTATCTTTTCAATTATTTATATATTGATGTAATATTTATTTTTATGGCTTATATGAAAGTGTAGTTAGTACTTGGAACATGAATCACTAAACTTTTGCTAATAGAAGAATTAATGCAAAAGATGGAGCTTTATAATTATTCCATTGTTTTTATAATGCCAAGGATATTCCATTGTTTTTTTTTTCTTTTCTTTTTTCTTTCCCGATCGATAAGGAAGGATGCTCAAGCTTACCTTAAGGCAACTAAGCCGCCACTATGTGCTACCTCCGAATCTCTTTCGGCTCATACCAACTTTCTAATTATTGGGTCGTTGCGGTCCAATTAATGACAAATAGGCTTGTTTTTTTTATGTTTATTATAGATAGATGCTTTCCCCGGTTTCTTAGCTTCCAAGAGAAAGATCGGTTATCCAGATTTCATTTTAATCTTACCAATGATGGTGTTTATGACTTTCCGGTTTAAGAGACTTGCCTCCGTTGTCATTGCTTGCTGCATTTTCTATTTTCAGACTTCTTTTCATTCTATGCCAATTTGTTTTTAATTCAATACACATTAGACCATTTGAGATATTAGAGAGAGTTGGAGATAGAGCATACGTAAAAACTTTGTCTCCATCCCTTGTTGCATTGCATAATGCTTTCCATGTATCCATATTAAGAAAGTATGTTGAGGACTCAAGCCATGCTCTAAGGGTTGACCCGTTGGAGCTAAAATCGGACTTAAGCTATGAAGAGAGACAAATCCAAACACTCGGATTAAGAGGTTAAGTAATTAAGGAACAACCAGATTCCTTTGGTTAAAATCTTATGGAGGAACCATAACATGAAGAAGGCTGCATGAGAGAGAGAGGATGAAATGAGATTGAAGTATCCGAGCTATTTAAGTCGGTTCAATTACAAGGATGGAATTTTTATAAAGGAGAGGATGTAATGCCCAAAATTAAATTCTATGCTTTGTGTGAATATTTATTCCGTTAATTACATTCATGCCTTGCTTGTGTTATTGATGATACATGTTTTTTTTTTCAAATTAAATTTTTATTGAGTGTTATGTGTGAATAATGAATTAAACGATAAAAGAAAGACTAGTAAATATAGTTTAATTAAATAATTTTCATACATGTATAACTTAGAATTAAAATTTAATTAGTGACCTAAATACATTAATCTAGAAAAATAATATCCTAATTATGTGTTTCACCTAAATTAATATGTCTAAGTGTAAAATAACCACTTTAGGACATATAACTTATTAAGCATTTTGGACTAAAAATTTTGGCCATAAGAATAAAATTAGAGGGTGAGATTTCATTTGAGCTTGTATTTTCCTCTCGCCACCATCTTTAAGAGAAAAAACCAAAAGAGACCAAATCACAAGAGAAAAAGCTAGAGAGAACCAAAATTTACCAAGAGAAGAAGCTGAAATTGATCAAGGGAAGCAAACTTGGCCAAAAGGAGGAGCAAACTATTTAAGAGGGAGAGGGGGTTGTTTTGGTCAAAATTTTAGGCAAGGAAAAAGGGTGTGATTTTGGGAGGTTTTAAGTTGAAGATTGAATTGAAAATTCTGTCTCAATAAGAGATTAAACACTTTATATATATATATATATATAACTTTTTACCTTGTTGCATAATGATCATGTTGTCACCCTCGCTTTGATCGAGATCGATGTGATGATCAATGCCATCGCCGAGGACGAGAGGTCCAATATCAACATGTATACCTTTCACGAAAAATAGACTTCATTCATTAATATTTATCTTGGAACACAACAACTTAGAGTAAACTATAAATTAGGTTTTTAGTTTTGTAAAACGAGTTCATAAATTATAGGTTAGTGTTGATCATAGCTAGTTTAATATTATTTTATTTTTAAAAAATCTTATTTTCTCATCATTTTTTTCATTTCATTTATTTATTTATTTCTATTTTTTAAAATAATAATTAAAAACAAATGAAAAAGATAAAGTTATAAATAGATTTAAAAATATAAAAAATCTCTTACTAAAATCAAACAATTAGCGTGACTTGGTACAGTCAGTATTTGGACTAAAAAAAAAAAAAAATCAAAATATACTTACATGAATAAATCAGTCGTTGCCAAAATCCAAGTTGGCATCCACTTAGAAATAAGTTCGGTGAGATAGAGAGTATCCCCAAAGCAGAGCGATTGAAAAAAGGATCTCTAGCAGTAGCCAAACTAGGACAACGATGGAGTATTTTCAAAGCAACATCTGGTATCATATCATGCAAAAAAACAACAGTGAGAGAACTAATAAAACATGAGAGCTAGTAACGAGGGAGTGCAACTCTTACCAAACATTTTGGACATTACAGCCCACTGGAGGAGTAAAGACCCATTGCCAATATTTTCTCCAGACAGCAGCTGGAAAGGAGTTTTTGAGAGAAGATAGACAGTCAGATCCGTCTTGGCCCACTGACTGGTAGATACAACTGGGATAATTCGCCATTTATCAGCAATGGTGACCAAGTTTTCATTCTTTTCAACCATGTATCTAGCCATTCTTGTACTAGAGCAATAATGGAGGGCTGCTCTACCATAAACATTCTGTATCGCCAAGGCTTCTGGAGACATTAACTCCATCAACTTTGTCCCAATCTCCACTTGTCCAGCAATCGTTGCTACATGAAGGGCTGTTGTGCCAAGGGATGTAATCTTTGCATTTATTACATCTGGATGCTCCTGAAGCAAGTTTCCTACGGAATTCGAATCACCTTGATATATATACTTGACTAGTTCTGGAACTCGAATGTATTCAGAGCTAACTAATTCTGCCAAAGTTGTTTTTCAGAAAAAAAAAATAAGTGGAGAACTAATAAAACAAATGACAGCACTCCAATATAACCCACGTTAATTAATTTCTCTTGTTTGCAGCTTGTTGGAAATATTACCTTTTGTTGTGATAGAACTAATAAAACAACAGTGAGAGAACTAATAAAACATGAGAGCTAGTAACGAGGGAGTGCAACTCTTACCAAACATCTGGTATCACATCATGCAAAAAAACAGCAGTGAGAGAACTAATAAAACATGAGAGCTAGTAACGAAAACCCAGATGGCAAAAAAGACAATGGTTACCAACTTTGGATCATCTGCTGCTATTTGCATTATTTTCTCGGGAACGAAAGTATAGAAAAGAAAAGAAGGCAGAGTGTTTCATTTATAGTAGCGTCACAAATTGCGTATCCAATGGCGTCAATAATCACTACCCACCGCCTGATTAAGAGACAATAAAGACACCTTTATTCCATGTTTGGAATTACCTTTTTTCTTTTTTTTTTTTTTTTTTTGCTTTGTTGAATCAATTTTAGTGACTGCCCACCGAACCTTTTGTTTTCTGTTTATGAACGGACTTTTAAAAGGCTGCCAACACACACACACACATATATGTTGGCCCATTTTAGGAAAATTAACACTGAATTTTTCTCCCTCATTAGTAAAATAAATTAAATTTGATGCATTCGACATGCATCAACACGTTACAATTTGCTTTTTAATTTGTAACGTTTGAGTGGATCCTTGAAGAAAATTTAGCGTATATATATGTATCCAAAAGTATGATGCAATCTTCCAAAATTGCAGTCTTGGATCAATGTATGCTATTGCTGCATACTATACAGAGAACTTAGTTCAAGCAAATCATTATAGATTAAGACATCACTTAGCGTGGATATTGATGTCCTGCATGCTTCTATGAACAGCAAGGGAGTATAATCCTTGCTCTTAAATTGTGGATTTATAGTAGCCAAATTAATGTTTTACTATAAATAATAATAATACTCTAGATGATTCACAAAATCTAATGTGTCCAGATGAAGGTGGACATCTACGATACCAGCAACTTCTGGCATTCTAGAGTCTGCAAGAACTTACCAATTTAGAAGTGAGTAACAGGAAACTCGACGGTCAGATTCCAGTGGGTGGCCAAATGGGCACATGAATGATTCAAACTCATATGCCAACAACAGTGGATTATATGGTATGCAAATTCAGCTATCGTGTCCAACTGAGCAGCCATCCACGAAGAAACCAGAAGCAGATGACTCGCTGTTTTCATGCAAGGTGCAGTGATTGTTTATCCAGTTGGCTTTTTTGCAACAACAGCTAGCAATCATATTTTTCACTGGCTGTGTAGCCAGGCTACCACCTAAAAATCCCCACTGATCACGCAGAAGGCGAAGGGTTTAGGTTTGGCTCAGTTTTTCAGTTCATGCATGGTCAAAGAACTAGGTCCTGCTTTTGTAATCCTTCTGCTGTGACAAGGGATCGATGGTACATTGTGTTCTATGAGTTTGGATAAAAGTGTCCATAGCTGCAATTGCAAGAATACATGCATCTGATTGCGCATACCATTTTCGAATGATCTGTTCTACAATTTGTTAAACTTTCTGCGAATCTGTCAAGTTCATTTGGCCCTTTTTTGTGCTTTATGGCAGGATTAATTATATTTCGTATCCTTGTACTATAATCAAAATATCGTTGTAACTCTTCTGTTAAGATATAGTTAATAACAATTTTTATATTATTGGTTGTTAGTGCAAATCAGTCCCTTGTTAACTTTTTATTTCAAATTGATTAATTTAGTTTATTAATGTTTGACCAATCATTTTTGACACGAGTCAATTTAATTTAAAAATGCAATTTTCTTTCAAAATCAAAATTTTAAAATTTTTTAAAGTTAATATAATTAATAATTATTATAAAATCGTTGAAAATTGAAAAACAATTCTAAAGAAAAATTTTCAAATAATCAAAATTTTTATTTTTTTATTTTTTGCGATTTTATAATAATTGTTAACAAACAAAATTATATATATATTTTTTTTTCAATTTTAATTATTTTATAATATTATCAATAAATAATTTCTAAAAAAATCTAATAATTATTTTATTGTTAATAAAGAATTAAAAAAAACTAAAGAAAATTTTAATAATTATTAATTATTTTAATAAAAAATTTTGATTAATATTTTTTTTCAATTTTATTGTAAAAACCTCTCTTTAGACCTTTTTTTTAATTTCTTTATTATAAATTCATTAAAAAAAATTAAAAAAATATATGATTATTTTAAAGATTTTCTTTAGAGTTTTTTTTCAGGTTTTAATGATTTTATAATATTATTAAGTATTTTAGCTTAAAAAATCAAAACAATAATTTTAAAAGAAAATTATATTTTTACTTTTAAGCTAACAAGTATTGTTTCTTCATTAATTAGACAATAGTCAACTAATGAAAATTGATCAATCTAATGAATAAAGTTAACAGATTAGTTGTTTTGCATCAATATTCAATAGTAAAAATTTGTTATAAACTATATCTAAATAGAGGAGTTGCATAAATATTTTTGGTATAATACAAAAATATGGCACAAAAAAAGGGAAAACCAAACTAGTCATGGGTTTGAGGCAGAATCCATGACTAAGCTTTCAGTTTCTGGGATGATTAGGAAGATTTGGCATGGTGAGCTCAGAACAGGATCCATGACTATTCATCTATGACCGTCTTTAGCAAGCAAGAGAGCATAACCATGGGTCCCTCTGGACATACTTAAGGCTTGTTGCCGTCTTCATGTCATCCTGCGGCCATCCTCAATACTCATTGCTTGCCGCCGTCTTACTTAATTAAGACTTGTTGCCGTCCTCACCATACTCAACATTCAAGGCATTATTGAAACACAACACTACCTCACAACCCACCTCATACTTCAACAAATTCTACTAAAATCAAAATCCCCTCTATGTTAGCTAAGGAAGTTGATGCAGAAACATGCTATAATACTATTAATAGTTCTATGACAGCCATCGAAGGAATCATGAATCTAACATGATGATAAGTGCCCAAAGTCATAAAAGAAGTGACTTAAAAGGAGTTAGATTGTGAACTTGTATGTAATTTCATAATCGATAAATGAATGAGCCATTAAATTGTAAAAGAATTGAAAGAGAAACAATGTTTTCCCATTTCATATCAGCTATATTGACATCTTTCCTGGATATCTTTTGATTTGAGAGTAGATTCAGCAGAACTGAAGTAAATGGGAACCTGATCTAATTCCACCTGCAGCTTCAGAGTCCATCGTAGGGGATGTATAGACTGAGAGTAGTCACAAATTCCTTCCATCTTTCTCTTGTGATTGCTGTAGTCCCTACAGAAACTTGCACAAGAAGGATGCTGTTAAGCAGATGTCAAAGAATTGTACAAACACAGCCTCTGTTGCTCTGATCTTCACTGTCGCTCTCTTCTGTTTCGCTGTTTAAAAGGAAAAAACAGATTAAAAGAAATATTGTTAGCTTGGGAACAATCCAGATATAAAATATGTTGGTTATGAACAATTCATAAAATAGAACTCAAACAAAATATCACAAGAGATACTGACATGCTACATAAGCAACATTCTAGTGTGTTGTTCAGGGACACAAGTAAGTTGCAATGCAAGTGGCAAAAATGCAGATTTTCTATTTGATTAGAGCAGTTGATGTTATGAGCATTTGCACTCTTCTAGGGATTGTGCAAGCTTCAGGGGTTTGGCAACTCATTGCTCCCATAAAAATGATAATGACTAGATATCTCAGGCCAATGATTTGTCAACGTTTTCAGGAAAATTTCTTGAAAATGTTTGCCATCATGCGAAGCAAGTTGAATAACTTGAAATCATTTGATCACGACAATCTGCTACACAGTTAATGTGCAAGCACTAACTGATTAAATTGAGGATTTAAATCCTTGATAGACACAAGTTACATGTCTGAATCCTATAGAGAAGTCAAAATACCTATCTCTATAATTCACAACAACTCAAATGCTATCCAGGAAGTTAGGAACCTATAAGAGAGACAAATTTTTAATGAAACACAAAATTATAAACAGATGAGTGTAAAAGTATTGTTTTCTTGGACCAAACAAAGCTGGTTGCTTTCTAACAATTCTAGTAATAAAAGCTTAACCACAAGAGGAGAAGCAGCCTTAAGAGGGAAGGAACTTCTCTCCCTTGCCCTAGAAGAAGCTTCTTTGCACAACATCCAACACCAGTACATCAACAACAAATGCTATAGCTGAAAGGACTAGAATTGCTACAGTTAAACGGTGAGAAAATTAACAAAATTTCATCATGAAACCATTCTTACATGTCCATCCCTAAATCCATCAACTTCATAAAGTAGAATTTATACAGAACTATTTATTTGCATTGTACAACAAAAATGCAGATAGAGATAATAAAGACCACAAAAAATGAACAAACCTGGGCTCAAATTCTCTGATCTCGACAAGCTCTTTCCCTAAGAAATCTATCCACCGCACTTTCTTCTTATCAACCTCTTTCGAATCAAAAGCCGCCTTCCTAAGACTACTTTTGAGGCTATTCTGAGCCTCTGATTGCTTCCCATCAACATCTACACTCCCTTCTGTCACCTCAATGGAATCATTAAGCACATGATCATCATTAGAGGAGGCATCAGCAACTGATATAACTGCAGTTGAAGGCACATGAGGACTGTTTTCCAATTTCAATGGTCCTTGTCTGTATATACTAGGAGAGGGCTTGCAAAAGCAAACGAAAGAAGGACAATGGATCTTGCAGAACAAAACCCTCATGAACAAAATATTTTCTTGATCGTCAATCAAACTACAAAAAAATTAACCCATTTCATAACTCCAATTCAAAAGCATGGATCTAAAACTAGAAACTTTCACTCATTGAATTTTTATAATTTGAGGACAACAGAAAAAGGAGAATAAAATAAAAAGCAAGCAAACCCAACAAGGTGATTTATAAAAGAAACTGTCTTTTAACAGACAAAACTGCTGTCAACTTAGCAAAAAAGTAGTCACAAATAAATGTACCACATTGAAGAACATATAAACAAAACAAACTTGTAATAACAACACAGAACCAAATTAAACTCAAGTGGGGTACTTTTGTTTTGAGTTTAGAGATCAAAAGGAGAGATAAAGTCACCAACTTTCAGAGAAAAAACAAAACCCAGAAAGCAATTTTGAGGGAGAGATAAAGTCACCAACTTTCAGAGAAAAAACAAAACCCACAGAGCAATTTTGAGTCTTTAAGGTATGTGGTAGTGAATTACAAGACTATAGACTTACAAAACTATCCTTCCAGAGTTAAAAGACCTCTGTTCGCCCTGTTTCAATGATGGAAAAAGACCGCACTTGTAATCTTAACAACACAGAGCCAAATCATGTAAGATTACTATTGCAGTAAATGACAATCCTACCCTCTTTCATTTCACCTCTGCATTGCCAATCAACCATAAAAGAAGGAGCAAGAAATCTAGGCAGATATGTTAGAACAAAAAGGAAGGAGAAAGCTTAGAGAGAGAGAGAGAGAGAGAGAGATTGGAAGAGAGATACTAAGATTTGGAAGATAAAAACCAACTGTCCAAATATTCTTGTCTTTTGTAATGTAACTGTTAGTCCCTCCAAAAAGGGGATTTTATTAGTAACTACTTTAAATACTTTATTATTATAAAAACAAAGAATAAACATAAACATGCCTTTTGAATTTTAAATTTGTTTCTCCCCCATTAACAGGTAAGAATCTCTCTGGTTTTTTTTTTTTTTTACACAATTATGTTAATATTTTGTTGTGATGAAAAAAATATATTTTTAATCTTTGACTGTGGAACATTGAGGAAGCAAGATTATGAGAGATTGGGGTCAATGGAATGGGATATGGGAAGAACAAATATAGAAGGAAAGAAAGATATAACTCCATCATGGATTACAAATTTGTGACAGAGAATATTTTCTCATACAAAGAATCCCATTTGATGGATTAGCATATGGCAAGTAGCTAGCAATATTCAAATAAGTTAACTTAATGATCCGATATTATTTTCCTTTTCTACTTTTTGGATTAGTTGTAGAAGCACCATTGGCCAGGATACTTCTCCTATGGTTTGCCTAGTAAGCAATTGAGCATCTTAGCTAAGCTATGACTTTCCTCCTTACCCAATGATTAGGCATCTGAGTTTCCAAGTTGACTCACATGATTTGGATTTATTCTAATGATATGGGATTGAGTTTTTCTAAGGAATTTTAGAAGATTTAAGCTAAAGCAAAGCAATTGGCTTCTCGAGGAGGCAAGCATTACATGCTAGCCCCTCATTTTGCTTTCCTCTTTATTCTTATTTATTTGCCTCCTCAACTCTATACAAAATCTATCTTGAAATCTTTTCTTGCAGACACTAGCTGCCATGGATGAAGCTACTAACAAACTTTTTCCTCACCCACAATAGAATAAGATGGGTGGCATGATACACCTTTTGACACCATTGCTTCACACCATCAATCAAACTTGGTTAATTTGCTTTGTTTATGTCACGCCATCCCTTTGAAACCACCTTTTGAGCGATACTGCATTTCTTTGTTCTTGAGGACGAGGTTGGCGTTTAAACTCCTCTGTTAATCAGAAAACTAGTTATGAGAATCGAGATTTATACAGAATTCATATTTGAAAACCGAAGCTTTTTTAATATATATATAGTTACAGACAAAGTCTCGACCTTTAAATTAGAAAGTGAGCTTTCATCCTTTAAGTATATAACTTTTCGATTTCACAATATTTCTATCAATATAGAGCATCAAAATACCAATTTTCTTGTAGGGAACTACCAATTTCAATGATATTCAAGACCCCATGAGAAGAAGAAGAAGACATGAATGGCATTCATTTACAAGTCTTGGTGGAGGGTTTTAAGAGGGATTTAGACGATGCATCTAAAAATAACCAATGATCCTAAGAGTTAGGTAAAAGCACTCATTATAAAGATGTGCCACACGTTAACATGTCAAAAAAGCGAACCCATTCGAATGCTAGACATTTGGAAACCACATGATTAGAGAAGCCAATCAAAGGCAGTGATGATGCAAAGCAAAAATACAAAGCCAAGCCCAGGTAAAGTTTATGATATGAAACGAACATGGGTGCCATTTTTTTCACTTTTTCTTTGTGTTTTCAGGGACAAACGCATGCCCATATGTGTTCGATTGTGGGAGCATTGGCCCCTCACCTTGTCTTGCATCATAACCACATATGCTGCATTTTCTAATAGCGATTGAGATTTGCTAGGTCTACAAAGCCCTTGAGGTTTTCTACTCAAAGCTGTCAATGGTATACTCAAGTTAGTTATGTTCCGTGCATCAAGACTAAATCTATCGAGACTAAGTCTATGTTTCCATCGACAAGTTCTTTAGTTTAGACAGCACAGGAAAATCTGGCACTTCTTCAGTCTCTACATTCTCATAGCCCATTTTAGAATTTGAACCTGTGAGTTTCAAGTTTCAAGTTTCAAGTTTCAAGCACTAAGTTTATGCAATCAATTGTAGCAAATAAAAACCAAAGTGATCCATTCTTGCATCAAAGGACCTCACCAATCAATTGTAGATGAAAAGACTACTCGCCTCGTCATTTTACAAATTATCTTGTCTTTCGAGCCTACTATCAGGTACTAAAACCGCTAATGACAGAGGAAGAGATGAGGCCAAACTTCACCGAAGTGTGACATTCATACAATAGAGGCAGATAAATAGGATCAGCATGACTAGGAGTAGAGAATGCACATGGATGAAGTAATCTCCATGCGAGATAGAGATAAGAAGAATAGAACTGAATTGGACAAGATTGGCAAGTGGAGTAGACAGATCAATGGAGTGTTATCATCACATTAAACAATCTATCAATCTATACAATTCTCATAAAGATTGTGACAAATTAGTGAGCAGATCCATCAGGAGTTGTATCCATTTCTGAATCGAGGGAAGAACACAGGTTTTTGTTTTTATCTTGGCTCTGTGTGGGAGGGGTTGTGGAAGATGAGTTCACCTCATTCCGGCCACCATGGGAGTCATAACTAGCAATGGAGATATTGTTCAGCTCATTCTGCAAAACAATTCAGAACGAAATAAATCAGATGAAATCACAATCAGAATTTGCATTAACAAATAGCATGGCCTTCCCTAAACATGGCTGCAGCTTCAACAAAAGGCCATGCCTTCCTGGCAATTGATTGCCTTTCCAGCACTTAGCCAGCACTGGGAGCATATGATCATGTTCCCATGCACTAAGTTAAATACGGCTTACGTTCTGAAGTAAAATTGAAAATTTTGAACTTCAAGGGTATTGCTCGAGCATTTTCTATTGATCTGAAGAGATGGGATAGCCTGAATTAGAAGATCAATGGCACCTTCCTCTTCAGTTATTTGCCTATTCGTTCAATGCAGCACTTAAAAACAGAGAATATGGCTACCTGCAGAAATTCCAAGGACAAGATTGCATTTTGAACAGCCTACCATCTTCGGGATTTTTGGGAAAGAAGAAAAGAGACTTTTATTTATATGTAAGCACAATTCAATGGAACTTAAATCAGCGACGGATTGGTTAAAGAAAACAGATTGGCAGAAGAACATTTAATACATCAGCTCGTCGGTAGCAACCCAAGTTCGCTGTCAGTTGGTTTTATCATCATTCACAATTCCCACACCTTAGTATTTTTAAACCTCATACAAAATGTTAAATTTACTCCTAAGATAAAAGAAAACAGAAAGAGATGGAATGCACGAACAGCAAAGGATGTTACTGAATATTTAATGAAGAGTTACTTCCATGTTTAGCAATCAAAATATCAAAGATCAGAATCATGTTTCAAATGAATACCAAGTGCTTTTCCTGAAGTACGATGAAAAGGACTGAGAGCAAAAATTCATAATGAAACCTGCAGATAAGCAGAGATATCATCTGTTGTCACCATTATTCCACCTTCCTGCTTCACTGCCATCCAGTTACTCAGTTTCTCCTGAAGAAAAAAAATTATAATGCATCAGTGGATGAACAATAAGAACATCAGAGGCATGTCCTATCTTCCAATAGGTTGAATAATGTTAATCATGACGATGGCAACAATCATGCAGAGGATTGCATCATTCATCTGCAGCTTATCATGATAATCCCATGATATATAGAGGAGACTTACGAGAACTCCAAATGCACAATCTCAGCATAAGGAAATCTTCACCACTAGCTTTATTAAAACGGTGCTGACAAAAATGAGAAGCCAAACATGCAGTCCAAGAAATATCTAGTACTTCCTTGTTTGGTTTAAGGATGGTCTAATCTGTCAAATATTTTTTTGATAATTATATTAACAGAAATAGGAGTGCCAAAGCTAAGGCTAACTAATTATGACTAATCATCAAAATTAAGCACCCGCATGCAAGTATGGTCAAATATATTAAATAGCTAATGGACCCTAGTTAAATAAACATAAAAAATAATTATCAGAACTAGTTTTATCACTACATTTTTCCATCAGTGTGCTGCTACTGATCTCAGGTTCATCCAATTTAATGCAACTACTTCGCTCTTCAGATAAGAAAGCAATCAACAAGCATAAAGATAACGAATTGTAAATCTTTATTTGCTTATTTGATCATAAAACATTTTGACACCCAGAAAAAGAACAAAAAAAGATAATTATGAGTTTTTCTCATTGTAACAAAATACAATCTTTAACTACGAACATTAAAATACAATGCTATTCCAAACTTGCCCATCGCTTTAAACCTCCAAAATGACACCAAGAATTCAATAATCCACAAGGTGCCAAAAGAAGGGGAAAAAAATAAAAACATCGTTCATATCATTCAGCAAACACAGTGATCAATCAATTCACTTTAATCAAAACAACAAATTAGAAAACTTGATATGAGACTAAACCTAAACCAAAACCAACACCACCTATGATAATCCATATCACATATGCATCCAAAAACCATAACCATCATAACCAAATATATATTAAAGATCAAAACTTTCAAGGACAAACAAAGTTAGCATCAAAACAATCAAATCTCATATGGGTTTTCCTCAAATTCAATGAAGATGAATCACAACCTATCAAAAAATTAAAAAACGAAATTGAACAAAAAAGAAAATAACTTTTTGTGGTCTTACAAGAGCATGTCTTTGTCCAGCTTCAAACGAAAGCTTGTTATGACTGATTGCTTGAGAATACAATTGAGAGAGTTCATTAGCAGAATTTCTAAACACTGAATACAAAACTCTGTCACTCTCATCTACTATCGCTGCACTACTTTCCACTTTCCTCTTCCTTGCCATAATCTTTTTCTTTTTCCTCTCTATCTAATTTTTTGCTACTTACAAAAAACAATCTGTTCCGTTTCTTTTACGTCCCTTCAGTTCTCCCTAGTGGACCACAGAATCCCCACTTTGGTCTTCTATTTGGCCCAAAAAACTACACTGCTCATAGTCACAGATAAATTAGTGACCGAAGATGGGACTTTTTCCAAAGTTTGGAACTTTGAGAGTGAGAGAGAGAGAGAGAGAGAGAGAGAGAGATTAATGGAGTGGATATAGACAAACAGCTTTGCAGCTTTCAATGCCCATTTGCAAGCATTAGAGGGGTTCTGTTTGGTGCGTTATCTTTCTTATATGGATTGGTGAGTTGATAGGTGGTAAGTAGGGATAATTATACCAATGTGATCCCTGTACTATTCTGTTGGACTCCCTTTACTTACTATAAATTTTGATTTTGTTCAAAATAAGGGCTCTTTATCTCCAAATATGATCCCTCTACTATTATAGTCTGATCAATTGACTCCCTTTACTTCTCATTTTGATTTTGTTTAAAATAAGGGACCAATTTGGTCCCTTTACTATTATATTCTGATCAATTGAGTCCCTTTACTGACTATAGATTTTGATTTTGTTTAAAATAAGGTCTCTTTATCTACCAATGTGATCCGTGTACTATTCTAGTCTGATCAATTGAGTGCTTTTACTTACTATACATTTTGATTTTGTTCAAAAGAAGGTCTCTTTGTCTTACCAATGTGATCCCTGTAGTATTCTAGTCTGATCAATTGACTCTCTTTACTTACTGTACATTTTGATTTTGTTTAAAATAAGGGCTCTTTGTCTACCACATAGTGTTAGCACCAACTCTACAAGCATACATAATTTACATGTATTCCAATAGTTTTTTTTAAGATGAAATCTATTTTTTTTATGCTTAAAATTAATCAAGATAGAGAAATGATAAATTAAAAATTAAAAATTAAAAAAAAAATGTAAAATTAAAGGATGAGAAACACAGATATTATATAAGAAAAACAATAATATTTTTTGTAAAAAAAATTAATAATTTTAAAATAACAAAAAAGTAGAACCCACAAATTGTCCCATAAAGCCCTATTAAAAACTTCAGTTATTTCAAAAAATATTACAATTTCTCTTGAATAACGCAAAATACAAAAAAAATAAAAATAAAATAAAATACACTCGAGCTATATTAAGTCGATGATCAAAGGACTCATAATTTTCTTGAAATTCTTTCTCTTAATGTTTTAATAATTTTATTATGCAACTGCCATTCAAGATTCAAAATAAGAATAAAATGCTTATTGCACCAAAGATGGAACAGATAGATAGATAGATAGGCATCTTTTGAAAGGTCCATCTATACTTCAGAACTGCTGTTGCCATTAATAGTCTGAGGTCCGAGGTAAATTTCTTGATTTTAGAAATGATGTAGAAATACAAGGTCGGATAATGAGGCAAGTGAATCTGGTACTCAGCCTTGCTTCCAACCTAATATGAAAAAGTTCTGGTTTTTGCTGCTCCTGGTTTGACTGCAGTCAAAGCAGATCAAAATCCGACCCAATCACGGCGGTGCAGGTGCCCCGGAGGGAGGTGGGCGAAATCACCATCCCTTACCTAAACAATGAGCCAATCCACCAAGTGGTTGTATTGAATCTACTGCTGAATCTTGAGGGTGGGAAAAGCAATAACATCTCGGATGCTGGCAGAGTTTGTCAAAAGCATCACGAGTCTGTCAATTCCAAGTCCCTGGGACGAAACCATTTCCTTCCATCATAATTGGCTTATAAAAATAGAAGTCTTCTCAACAGAAAGGGAAAAAAAAAATTATAGAACAAAAGGGCTGGCCAGACCATTCCTGAAGCTGGAGGCATTCCATATTCCAAAGCTGTTAAGAAGTCATCATCAAGTGTTACTTCATACGATTCATCATCGTCTTTCTTGCTTCTTCCATCTGCTTCTGAAGCAAATGAAGCTCTCTTCTCATTATGCTGTCTCACTTGCTCTTCCAAGCGTCCTCTCTGCCACAATTTAAATTAACAATCTATCTTTTGTCTTATAATTGAAATGAAACTAGTCGCTTCCACTTCTTCTTAATGAATCTTGATGTTGTTTATATTATGAGTTAACCAGACAACAAGAACGGAATTATGAGACTGACTCCAACCAAACATTTCAGAAACACACATCCAAATAATTCATCCAGAAAAATAAATTTCAATATCCAAATATTTCAGAAAAGTGTAATAATTAACAATAAAAGAGTACCAGCAACGAGAGAGACATCCACAAAGCAAGCAGCTGGTACTTACCTGATCCATGGGATCGGTCAACTCAGAAAATGCATTCGCCATTTCACGACCGCAAATGAATAGTTCAAATCTCTCAGTCAAGCCTGCGTGCCTGTTAATTGCAGATTACCAAAAGAATTAAGGAAAAAAACTCTGCACGTTTGCTTTTCATAAAGGCAGGTAACCACTCATTTTTTTCCATCTCAGCATAAAACTCCATTGCATGCCCAAATAGTGCATATTACATAACGGAATCGTGGCACCAATATCAGTAAAATCTGGTCCACACAAAGTTCATGCTGGAGTCTAAGTCAGAGCACAAGTGTAATGATGAATTAAAAAATAACTTCAAAAGAAAAACATCTAAAAGTTCATGTAGAAATTCAATTATTGCATTGTCTGCTTGTAAATTTTTGCACCTTCGGTGTGGCTTGGCTAGAGGAGATATTTCAATAGGATAGTCCAAAACAAACGTGGGTTGCAGGAGCTTTGGCTCTACAATGATTTCAAAAAGCTGCACAAATAAATTAAATAAAAATCTTCAGCAATGTGCAAAAGATATCATCTAGCATTTTTTAAAAAAAAAACTAAATATACCCATGTCAAAAGACACTAAAAAACTTTGAGCACAAAAGCAATTTGAAGAGCCTGAACACAGAACTCAACAAAAAAAGGTCTAAAGACAGAAGAAGCTTGGAAAATAGCCGAAAAACCGACTTGCAAATATAATTGTAAAGAAAGTAAGAGCAGCTTTACCTCATTAACGAGGTGGCCAACAGAAGAACAAGCTGCAATGGCAGATTTGTCTTTGCTTTCAAGTCCAGATCCAAGAGTACTCAAGGTGACATCTTTAGCAACTTTGAGATCATCACCCAGCTCATTGAAATCAATAGCAGTGGCTTCTTTCACAAGGTTGTGCATGGTTTCCCTTCTCCAGGGCCGCTCTAAACAAATCTCTACACCCTGCATTGAAGCATTACATAAGCTTTGCAGAGTTAAAAACAAGTCTCTCTCTGATACATTATTAAGAGGTAAATTGATAAAATATTGAAGTTTCTATGCGGAGACATATAAAATATACTCAGCAGAACTCATATTAGTGCCATTACCTGGTAATCTAGCGTAAGCTTGCCATGAACAGCAAGAGCACATTGAGTAACAATTTCCTCTGCCATGATCATCATGCTCTGGTAGTCCGAATATGCTTCGTACATCTATGATCAAACTAATTTCAATATGGATCAGAGTTCCACTTAACAGAATAAAACATTAAAATGGATTATATACAGTTCAAATCGAAAATAGATTGGATAGAATAGTGCCAAGAGATTACCTCTATGGTCGTAAATTCAGGATTATGACGTGGTGAAAGGCCCTCATTTCTGAAAATTCGGCCAATCTCATATACCTTTTCAAATCCCCCAACCTGCCATTACATGTTACATGTTTTGTTGAGTACAAAAGCTAAACAAAAAAGTTAGAAATCAAAGAAAAATATGCATACACTTAGGTTTTCTTTATCCATTAAAGAACAGATAAACAGGAATACAGGAAATTGATTCAATGTTAGAGTTTCTGATAAAACTGAAGCTCTATGAAATGGCTTAAATATATTCAGACAAGGCAAAAAAAAAGAAGAAAATGAATGGTAAATGATCCACTGTTACGTGTCTCTAGATTAATGGATCCTGTCCAAGCCACCTCATTGATACATCTACCCCCCCCCCCTTCTCTATTTTGACCAATAAAATATTTTATTAGAGAAGTTTATGATAAAGACTTGAGAATATAACATCACCAGCATTCTCTTTAAGTGAAGCTCAGTTGCAATTCTAAGATAAAGATCTCTTCCAAGTGAATTGTGATATGTCACAAATGGCCTAGCTTCTGCTCCACCAGCTGCTCCCTAGTAGATCAAATAGATTAAAGAAGATCAAAGTAAAAGAGAAACTAATAAGATATTTCAGGTAATACGAAAAGAGTACTGCATAAATACAGAGAAAGAATATCACTAATAATATGTAAAAGAAAGGAAACAAATTACGAAGTGAAATTTTCTGACAAAGACAAAAACGTTTCAGCTAGTTGGAATTTAACAACAGCTTTATGCTGCCAACACACACCCCCCCCCCAACCCCAACCAACATACTCTACACAAGACATGCATTTTGTTAGCGACAAACCAGAAGGAGCACATCTCATTAACCTTTTTCTTTCCTATATGCAATTGCTTACTACTTAACCAAAACGCACAGTGAATCAAATCCCATATCAAAAAGAAAACCAACATATACATTTGAAGTCTATGTCTGAGGATAACCCTCTTATCTCCCCATATATATATATATATCACAACTCTACGCTCATCAGAGACCAGCCCTGGCCCAATGATTTATCAAGCCTTAGCTTTTCTGCTGTTGGTTTTGCAAAGGTTTCAGAGGAAATTCATCCTTCTTATAAGGCTCAAGGGCTGCCCCCAAACCTCCACTGGTGCTATTTCACCCTCAGACTCCAGGGTCACTGAAGCTTTGAAAGTGAAGGTCCAGGATTTGATCACACTTGAGAGACCACTTAATGAAATCTCTTTCATTTAGTCTAGACTTATCAATTGAACATGCCCACCATTCCAGCGATAAAAAAAATCAACTTCGAATACACAAAATAAAATTCACAGTGTCTTGTCCGTAAAACAACAAAGAATCAAATGAAAGATGCCAAGACCCAAAATGCGCTATAAAGATAGCAACAAACCTGCAGAACTGGAGTCTCCACTTCAACAAAACCTAATGATTCCACTGTCTTGCGAACCTCTGAAACAATCTGCCATAAGAGAAGTGAAAGAGGAGTAGCATCATTACATCTTAAATTGCTATTATGCATGACAATGACAAAATTGGTTCATGATGTAGTCTCACTCTGGTAGTAATTCAATGGAATGATCAAGAAACAACGTGTTGAATGCAAAGAAAAATCACCAAAGTTGCAATCTTTCAGTTCCAACTTCAACAAAATAATGCATGAAGAAAAGTAAAGGAAAAATTTATGTTGGGCAGTGAAGAGAATCACCCTTGCTCTTTTACGGAATATATCAGCAACTTCAGGATTTGAGATCATATCAACATACCTAAACATCGATGACATGAGCGCAGGAAATAGAGAAAAAACAAGAAAATACTCACTAAATATAAAATGAAAAAGTAAGTGCTTATAAACTAAAATCATTGCGATGTCTCATTACCCTGTTATACAATTAGGAGACCATTTCCGTGATATTGTCACATGGTAATAAGACATTCACTACAAGACTTTTATTAAGTCCATGATTAAACGATTCATCAGGTGGAGTCCATAGGAAAATTTGTCTTGATTGCATTCCCTTGTCAGAAAATTCAGGCAGTGTTTCCCAAACTAAAAGGAAATTTAGCATGACTCACCTTTGACGGTAGCGCTTATCTACATCAGTTAGACCATGATATTTGTCTGGCAGTGGAAGCAGAGATTTTGTAAGAATTGAGAAAGAATTCACGCAAACAGAGAGCTCACCTGAAGGATTAACCAGGAAAACCAATGAAGTTTAACTAGTGGAAAAATACGATCATAGAAAGATATTGATAAGGTAAATTGAATGTCCAGGTTCAAGAATGAGTGCAGGAAGAAAAACATTTACCGAAGATAATCATATCTTTAAAAGGTTACCTTTCTCTGTGCGCTTCATTGAGCCACTCACGCCCAATATATCACCAATATCAACATGTGCTTTCAACTGATCAAACTGATCATTCAGAAGCCTCTCCTTCTCACAGTAAAGCTGTAACAAAAAGACTTGATAATTTCATCTTGTGCTCAAATACACTCCTCATACATGAAATTGCAAAGTGAAAAAACAAAAATCTTACAAAATTGTCAAATCAAACACGTGTGAAATCAGCAAACCTGAATTGTCCCAGAGTCATCTCGAAGAGTGAGAAATGCAAGCTTTCCAAAAGCTCTACGGGCAACAACTCTCCCAGCAATGGACACTTGATCATTCTCACTATTCGACTCTTCGCCATTCTCTAAATGCTTGTATATCTCTTGCAGCTGATTGGCAGTATGAGTCCTATCCCAGTTGTAGGCATAGGGCTCAAGTCCTTTGCTCCTCAATTCTTCAACCTACAAAACATTCAATGGCATTGACTCCAAAACTTTAAAAACCGAAAATTCAACACTAATCATCATTCAATTGGCCACGAGATATTCAGCTTCCGAGAAGGAACGATTAAATCATTAAATAAAGTCAACATCCAAATTGTTTTTGCTATTGGAGAAAGCATAAAGTTCGAATCTTCACTCTAAATTTGCAACAAAACAACTACCCCACTAACCAAAATTTAAAGAACCAAGAAACACAAAATGGGCACATAATAAAACCAAAAAAGATGGAACCTTTTTCAAGCGAAGGGCACGAATGGCATCACGGTCAGAAGTGGAGGAGGAGGAGGAGGACTTACGGCGGTTGCGGCCGGCAAGTCTGGTGGTGGTGGTGGTGGTGGTGGTGGTGGGGGAGGAGCAGCAGCGAAGGACAAGAGTGGAATAAGAGTGTTTAGTGGTGGTGACGGAAGAGGTGGAAGAGGCAAAGTGAAGGAGATGTCTTAAAGCGAATGGCTTTGAAGACAGACCCCATATTTTCAGTGCCTCCATTTGTTTCTTCTGTCTTTGCTTGGCTTTTGCTGCTCACTGTTTTTTATTGCTTCTATTATCCACTGGACGCTGCATGACCGCAACTCTGTAAAGAAGACGAAACTTTTAAAAGTTTTTTAGAGCCCAGGTTTTTCGTTCTACTTCAAACCCAGCCCAGACCAGCCCAGCCCATCCATAAAAAGGCCTCCAAGTATTTACGTTTATTTTTCTTGCTCTAAACATCTTTCGAAATGATTTTAAAAAACTAATCCTTTATTTTAATTTGATGCATTCATATAAATTTTTTTAAATGCCAATTATAATATTTAAATCTAAAAAATCAAGAAAATTATATTTCAAAATCATTACCGGCGATATTAAAAACGATTTATAGATAGATTTATTATAAATTCTGCGAATGTATTGTATTTTTGTATTCATTAAAAAAAAACCAAACTAAAACGATATTTTACTGTTTATTATGATTCAAATCATTATGGACATATAGATTAAAAAAAAAACTATTTCTTTGACTGTTCACGGATTGTTGCCTTCTTGCCCTTTCTTTTTCCTCACATTCTTTAACTGTTCACGGATTGTTGCCTTCTGTGAAAATGCCAAGTTGGTCATTGGATAATGACACAAGTCTCAGCAATGCATGGCATGGCATGGCAGTAGTTCTTTTGGTGGATGTCATGATTTGTCAACAAGATATTAAGAGCTAATCGAGCAGGAAAAAATAAGATTTACTGGCTTTCCTGTCGAACTTTCCATCCTTCAACATGGTAGGGTGTTAATGGGTGCCCAAGTTGTGCTCAGCTTCTCGTCCATATCTGTTGCCAACTAAGGGTCGAGCTTTCAATTATGACCCCATCTTGTCTGCTCCAATATCCAGTCAGTTTTCCTTCTCCTGATTATATTTGATCATTCATGCATGCTCAATAAAGTGATGCAGATAGGTAGATGCATGCACATGGTTAACTAGGAAGGGCAATGGGGGCGGGACGGAAAGGGACAAGGCGGGGCGGCTGCTCCTGAGAAACTCCACCTTGTCCACGGCCCGTACCTTGCATGGAGTTAATATTTTTCTTACCATCCTCGTTCTTAACGAAGGTGGGGATTCCTGTGGGGGCATTTATGCCCTCCGTAATTCTACAAAATAATAATAATTTATATAAAAAATATAATTAAAAATTACATGTAACATCATATTTAATTTTAAGTTTATAACACAAATCATAATATATTAAATTATTTTCAATCAAATAAATAACATACTTGATTAAGTTGATAAAGTATCACAAATACAGTTAAAAAATATAAATACTTGTATATTTTTATTATTTAGAGATCATCAAAATTCACCAATTATATTAAAAATTTATTTATAACTTCAGAGTTTATACATACATATATATATACATACATATATATATACATACATATATATATATATACATATATATATAAAATTGTAATTTCCAAAGGAAAGTGTGGGACAGGATAGGATGGCGTGAACAAATACCATTTTTGTCTCATTTCCTTTCAAAATCAATGCAAAGCGAGGCACCTCGTCTCGTTTTTTAGTCAACTTCGAAATCCTGCGTTGATCAAAATGGGGGAGAGATAGGACAAATTGCTATCCTTACACATCGTCCAATTTGTTACACAATTACATTGATGAAATCTAAAACTAACCACTTCTGATTCTTTTTTTGGCATGCAAGGAAATCTCCTATTTAAAAAAAAAACTAAAAAAAGTGAAGTGTTTCTATTCACTTACTGTTGCAAAAGACTCATGTTTGCCGTTGTTGAAGACTCAATTGCACTGTTGGTTATCTTTCCTTCGATCTTAGCTTTTGATTACGGTTAGATCATTGTTGGTCGTTTGATGTCCATGGTATTATCTGCCTTATTGTTTGTTTCTCTTGTTCTTCTTCAGTTTCGCCCCCCCTTCCTTTTCAGTTATTTCTATTTACCATTTGTTTCTTTAGGTCATTTACATATCTGCCTCTCAGGCTCAATGCTTTCGTTTCCCTCTTTCTTTTCGATTCCGTGTTTTCCTCGCCGTCTCTTTCGTTTTTTCCCTCTTTGCTCCAACCTTCAAGCGTCCCTTCGTGATCGATCGGACGTCTCATTTAATGCTTTTGTACCAATTTGTCTTAGATTCGTTGTCCATTGACATCTCTGTCCTCAAGCCATCTCTTTTCCTTTTTTTCCTCTTTTTCCTCTTGGGTTTTTTTGTAATCCCATGAATCATCAAACACGCCAAAAAGCCAATGATGATAGAAAGCGAAGGCCATTGTAATTCTATGTATCCATTGTTTTATGATATTACAAGCATTTTGTTTTCTTGCCGTTTCCTTATTCACAAAGATAAAATATATATATATATATATATATATATATATATATATGGATATAATAAATTACATAACATTCGATTTAAAATTCAACCAAATATACTTGATAATCTATATAAAACGGGTATCCAATTTCAGCTAAGCGTGGATACCCCACTAGTAAGGTCTCAAATTAATCCATTTCTGTTCCTATTTCCTATATTTTGCTTGTCCTTTCAAGAAAATTGATCCACCATAATCTAGTAAAAGAAAAAAAAAAAAAAAAAGTCATATCTCTGCCACTACCTATATTTAAAAGGTTCTGTTTTTATATTTTAATCTTAAACAGATGAGTCACGACATGAAAACAAAACAACAGCAGCAACAAACACCAAACCAAAACTACAGTTACAAATAGGAAGACAGTTGAGAAAGGAGAATAAAAATCTGTCTTAAAGAAGAAGAGAAAGTTCAAAGAAAGAAGAAAAATGGTGTTTAACAGCTTAATTGTATTATCAGTAGCCCACATATCAGCAGACGCATGGCAACAAATAGCATGCTTAAGGTTACAAGATCGAGTAAGCAGTCACCAGCTGCTTGATCTTGTTTGTTGCTTTCCTCTTCAACAACTGGGCCGTTTTGCTCTTTACATCTGGACTTTCCTCTGCTTGCCTCCTCCTGATTCTTTCATGTCTTCTTACTCTTATCAATCCACATCATCAGATGACGAGGATCATCATCCTCATCGTCTGTATGGTCATCGTGATCATGCCTCTTCCTCCTCCACCTCTATTGGTGTTGGATACTACGACTGTGACTCTGACTGATTTACTCCAATTTGTATCACCATTTGTGTACAGTAACTCTCTCTCTCTCTCTCTCTCTCTTTCCCTTGTATATGCTTAATTTGTTTCTTTTGTTCTGTGGGGTTTGCGTTTTTTAACGAGGAAAATGTTGGGTTTTTTGGATTAGTGTTACATGATATTTAGTGGAGATGAGTATATATACTGATTTTGTGAGTTTTTTCAAGATTCTTTTTTTATTCTTCAATCTGGCCCCTTTTTTTTTTTTTATGTTTATGTTTATGTGTGCAAGATTGCATCTTGATGAGTGATGACTTTATTAAAAGGGTTAGGTCATAGCCATGGAGAAGATTTTTAAAAGAAAAGTTTGCCTGCTATTCTTGGGATTTGCTGACTTATATGCATTCTTGCATATGCATTGCCATTGAGGGCTATTCCATTTTGAACTCGGATCCAGTAGGATTCACTAGTTGGTGGTGATTCTTTTCTCTCTTTTTTAGCAGACAGCTACTAGATGCCTATCTAACATCATCTTACCTTGAAAGATTGTTACATGCTAATTCCTAGAAGCAAACTTTTCTCTTGAAATGAATGAGATCCTTACAAGTATCTGATCCTCCCGATGATCAATTAGTTGATTACCCTGAACCTTTTAGTTTAGCTATTAGAGATAGAAGATATATAATGTAGAAAATTTGTCACCTAGATTATTATTTAATGTTCTATTGATTGATTTCTTTGAAAGTGCAATTGTCAAATCATTCTGCTTTCTGAAGCTCTTGGTTGATGAAGTTTCATACTTTATGCAGAAACTTGCAGGGATAGTATGTTATGTAGATTGCTTAGTCTCTTGTCCATGTATGCAGTTGTAAAATTTGTCTTGATAGAGGATCAGAAGAGATGATTGTACACAAGTTTCTACTCCAGTCTGCTACATAAAAAATGAAAAAAAGAGTTTCCAGCTGAGTAAGATAACTAAAAGGATCTTGTTTGTATGCCAGTGGCTGTTGAAGGTGCTGAATCTTTGTAAGCATTTGGCTTTTTGAAACTCAATTTTTCATGGTGGTGTGATAGCTTTAAGACTGCAGATACAGTTTCCAATGCAAAATATATGATAGCTAACTATTTGTACATATGTATGTTGTTGAGACTTCTTGTTTCATTGTTCTGAATAACTCTTTAAATCGACTACTTTAAATGTGTGATCATTACAAAATCACAATCTTGGCCCTATTTCTTTGAAGTTTTTTTGGGGATCCTTATATTTATATAGATGTATCAAATCTTTTAACTTTTCGATTATTGAGATAGAAACTGATTCAAAATTCTGGATTGGTCATAGATGATGGGATCGGATTTCGATTTAAGCAATTGAAATAAATCATGGAAGACTGCGGGTGATTACTTATAGGCTGACTTACTTTTTATCAAATTGTTCTTGGAAATTGAATTATGACAAGCCCTATAAAAAATTGGTGTTGCAAATACCTTGTGCACTAGGAATAACAGCAAATGATACTAATAGAGAGAGATGAAAGGAACTGTTTATGTAGCTGCATATCATAGATCTATACATTGAAGTATGGAAGAAGTAAATAGTATGAGAAGGTTGGCTAGGGCTAGATAGCAGCAAGGGAAGTAAGGTTCTAGAACTTCATTCTCCCTCAAAAACTGTTTTACAAGTACTCTAAGATCGTATGACAAATGCAAGAAATAGATGTAGAAAGAAGGATGGAAATTGTTGGACAGTTGCAGAAAAGAAGACAGAAGCTGGAAAAAAGAAACCAGAATAGTACAGCTGAATGACCATAAAGTAGGCAAATGATAAGGTTGCTCATTTTGTTATTGAGATCATAAGTGATCCTCTGTCAGTTTATTTGGCAAATTGCTGAGAATATAGAGATAGCAAACTCTAAAAAGAATCTATGATTTGGTTGATAGAAGATTGTGACTTGGAATATGCCTGGTAATAGCAGGACATTGTCTTAGATTATACTCACTTTGTGAAGGGTTATCCAGCCTTTCCATAAAAAATTGGGAGGCAAAAAAAAAAAAAGGCAAATCTTTTCAATAGTTAAAAGGAATTTGTTCCCATTATATGTAGCTTGCTGGTCCTTTCTTGTGCAATATATGATTTTCGGTTGCACTGCTACATTTGAGATGATTCCAAACATTGACATAGCTCCATTGCCCCAACCTATAGACAGAAACATAATTTTCTCAGATGGCTTTTGAAGATTGCAAACCATATTTAGAGACTGCATATTTCTCATTACTATTGCAAAGCCATCAGCCTAAAGAGAGACCAGCTAGTTGCCTAAGGCAGCAAGTTGACTCTGTGATCAAATTCTAGCTGCTGCTTTTTAAGATCTCTCATAGGCCTTATGAGGATTTATAAGAATGATTTGTCCCTTGCCAATGAGTTATCCAGCTGCGTTTTCCTGTCCTTTCTGAAGACAAAAACTAGATCTATAGAGAGAAAGAGGAAATATGCTGGAAAGTTGGCCAAAGTTAGATTTCGATGAGCATCGAGTTAGTTACAAGGTTTTTGCATTTCCTTTTGGCATCTTTGACTCTCATCATTTTCGAACTTCTCATGGAGAGGTCATCAAATAGAGGGTCTTTGCAAGTAAGAAGAGCATCAACTGACTGTTTCACAGCCTTTGGAGTGTTGGAAAGTCTCTACTATTATCAAGTCTGTTTATTTTAACTTCTGGTAGCAAGGAGGCTTGTGTATTAGAAGATTATTGGGTTTCAAATTTGGGGTGAGCAACAGTCGTGAGTTCTAGTACTCTCTGTGGAAAGCATAGTTGAAACCTGTTCTGTGAAATTTATGGGATGATATTTTGGGAGTCCCAAAACAGGGGAAACATTTTTGTGAATGCTCATGATTCAGGAGCATCAGTCAATCAAGTTACAGCCTTGTTTATTTTATTCTGTTTTCTGATCTCTTTTTTCTGGCAATCAAAATGAAATTCGATTTCTGAAAAGTCTCTTGGTTAGCAAGCTTATGAATTCTTAGATTTCCAATCTAATAAACTAAGCTAGCAGGTGAAGACACCCGCCCATACACTAACATACAAAACAACAAGCATGAGATTTGCTCAGCATCTGTGCTGGACCTACAGAATTACTTAAACGCAACGTGACCAGAATAACAATGCATACGGGTCTTTCATGTTAGACAGAAATGACAACAAAGAAACCAGCTAAAAAACCTATATGCAGAATCAAGTACATGGAGAAGCCGATGGAACGTTTACTCGATAGATTGAGATTAGGTCTTGCGAACTTGAGTTCCCCAGCTAACAATATGGTGAAAGCGGATCAAAACTTTCCTGGTAATTCCATTAACTAATTTATTTTTATTTGCAAACGCAGAAAAGATTCCCTGATGCTGCTTTTCCAAATGTATTCTTTCTCTGCTTTGTTTGATTAAGAATGTGCTTCTTTCTTGTTTTCCTTTACCTTCTATAACCCATATAGACTCGAGTAAGCTTAGTTCGTTCTGAATGATATTGGCTGCACGATTTTGTTTTGCAGCATTCTGCTCTCTATCTCAAAGTGTTTTGTTAAGACACAAGCATGTCCTTTTGTAATGTTTTTGGTGTACGTTAGTGGATTTTCATCTTGTTCTTTTGGGACCTAATTAGACTATGTTCCCCTGAAATTTCTAAATTGTGCATTTGATATTTCAAGGATGCCAGCACCTACTTTTAAGTGCTTCTCCTATATCTATGTTTATGCTACCAGCAAAGAACCTGAACAGATGGCTAATCTGTTACTAATTTGGCAAAAGGATCGTGTGTTTAATGTCTGCACGTGCATGCAAGTTAATCAGTATTTATTGCATTGCGACTTTGCTGGGGTGCTGCTTGTGTTTTGTTGGTAGAGAATAACTTTTGCAGATTCCCCGTTGGATGGATGACAGTGCACAGCTAAGAGAACTGTTCCCATCCTCTGATTGCCGATGAGATGCTTTGATGGTAGAGAATTCTTAGAAGGCATATATGCTAGAATGCATTGATATGATTCCGTATTTACTAGTTAGCCATCTTCAAAAGGATCGATGTAGGATTTCGACATGGAAGAGTGGAATGAAACGAAGGTTCTGACTCTATGTTTTCGATTTCCATTCGATGTAGATAGCTTAAAGAATCGATTTGAAAATGGGATTTTGATGACAATTATCAAGCAGAACTCTAGTTTGAAACTGTAGTTCTTCCTGCTCTTGCATTGTTGAAACAGGGAATGCTACAAAATGGATTCTCTCCATTAAAAGTCATGGATGTGATGCTTTCTTTGCAAATGGTTTCCAGTTGTTTTGAAAACATGCTGTCTTGAGAGGAGAAGAGCTTTGCAGAGCTATCGCATGACACAGTCAGAAATCCCCCTATATAATATGCACCACATTCCATTTGATCTAAAGAATGGAAAACTTCGAAGTTTTTGCCGTAATACGACACTTTTGTTTTTAGTTTTTTTTTTTTTTTTTTAATCTTTTCGAATTTTTTTAGTTGGATACTATAAGCCTATAGCATGCTTGGAAGAAATCTTTGAACTCTATATAAGAAAAACTTTAATTTAATCACAAATCTATATATCTGTTTTAAATTGCATCCCAGACTATCAAATTTGATCCCAAATGTTTCGAAAAAAATTCAATCAGCTCTTCCCGTTAAGGTTTTTTAATATTTTCATCAAAAAAATTTCAAATTGATGCTGTTTTAGTACATGAAAATATGCATATTAGACCAAAAAAAAATAATAATAATAATAATTTTTGTTAACTTTTTCGTAAAATTTGCTTTCAATCGATTTCATTTTAGTGCGCAGAAAAAGCACAATAAGCTTACAATATTAAAAGAAATTTATAAGAGGACCCGGCTGAGAAAAGTAGGAATTTTTCTATTAATTAAAAAAAACCACCACGCTTTATAAGTGAAACGCAGCGTTTCCCGTACTCTCATTCTGCAATATCCCTCTGGCCTCTCTGTTCAGTCAGTTGCCAAACGAAGCGCTCCTGCTTTCTGCCGCTACCTCTTCTCTTGCTCGGACCTCCGCCGTCCAGTCTGCTGCATCGGCTGCCTCATCCGGTGAGTATTGCTACTACACTTTCTTTCTTTTCTTTATAGCTCGTGTCTATGTTAGACCTGGATTTTTAAAGCATAAGAGTGTGTTCAAGGTTTATGAATTAACTCTTAACTAGGCAAAGGCATAGGCTTTGTAGATTTTTCATGGACATAATGATTGTTAAATTGAAAACACAGTCTGGGTTTTGTCCGCTTGATTAAAAGAAATTAAATGTGTGGTTAAAGCTTGAATCTTTTATCTTTCTAGATTGGTTTTTTTTTTTTTTTTTAAAGCTTGAATGAGGTTGATAGAGAATAAACAAATATCCAATGTAAATGAATAATCCTGTGGTTAAGGAAACAGAATGTGCACCAATAATATTAACCTGTCAGGATATACTTTTGACAGGTGGTTACATTGAGGAAGAGAGATGAAGCTAGGCCTGAGCCGAGCATGTCTTTATAGCTGCAGTTGTGCACCGATTTTCTCTTCTTCAATGCCATCTTTAACAACAATTAAACCAAAAATCCCAGTCTTTTTGAGACCACCTACTTATTTAGTTACTTCATTAGACCTTCAAAAATGGCATGGATGGGCAAAAAACCTTGCCTCCTCCGTTGGGTCCTCTCTTGTGGAGTCTGATAATGGCCCTGACTCCACTCTCCTGTGTAGAGAGATTAATTGGCTCCTTGAGGACTCACTTGAAAACCGCTCCTCCTCCTCGCGCTTTTCCTTTTCCCAGTATAAATATGATACTAGTGGTAAAAATGAGAGTGTCATGTTAAGAATAAGTTTGGATGACCTTTACCAATTGTGGAAGCAGAGGATTGAAGAGAGGAGGCCTTTCCAGTATATAGTAGGTTGTGAGCACTGGAGGGACTTGGTGTTGAGTGTGCAAGAAGGGGTCTTGATTCCGAGGCCGGAGACAGAATTGATTGTTGATCTAGTGCATGATGTGGTTTCCAATTATGAAGAATTGGGACAAGGGATGTGGGCAGATGTGGGTACAGGTAGTGGTGCTATTGCTATAGGTATTAGAAGGATTTTTGGGAGTTATGCGAGAGTTATTGCCACAGATTTAAGCCCAGTTGCAGTTTCGGTGGCAACCTTTAATGTGCAAAGGTATGGCCTTCAGGATGTGATTGAAGTAAGGCAAGGATCTTGGTTTGAGCCATTAAAGGATGTTGAAGGACAACTTGTAGGTATTGTGAGTAATCCACCATACATACCAAGTGACAATATCTCTGGACTACAAGCTGAAGTTGGAAGACATGAACCAAGAGTTGCATTAGATGGTGGTGCTAGTGGCATGGATTATCTTCTTCATCTTTGCAATGGGGCTGCTGCAATGTTGAAACCTGGTGGATTTTTTGCTTTTGAAACTAATGGGGAGAAGCAATGCGAGTTTCTTATAGATTACATGCAGAATGACATTGCAGGAAGTTTTTGTAATCTGAACATTGTATCTGATTTTGCTGGTATCCAAAGATTTGTGACTGGGTTCCGCCAATGAATAAGTACCATAATTGGTAAATGTCCCTTTACCAGCCATCAATAAAGATGCAAGGCAAGTTGTGTCCCAGTGTAACTAAATATAGTAATATCTATGAAATCATAGTACCATCCCTATCAGTGGCCCTTTGTCATATCATTGATGACCTGAATATGTTGAGATTAAAAAGTTAAAAACTTATTTTCCTAGTTTAGTCTGAATGCATGAATCTTATGAGATACTTTTGCCTGTAGAGTCATCATACCTTCTCGCTCTCAAAAGTTCTGGTTGTTTAGTCTTTCGGTTGGTTGATTTCTGAATGTATGATCAATGATAAAAACCATATAAAGGAATACTGTGTCAAAGAAAGTTTGGTTGATTTCTGAATGTATGATCAATGATAAAAAACATATAAAGGAATACTGTGTCAAAGAAAGTTTTCTTTTATGTCTCGATTGTTTTTGGCTTTTATAAAATATGAAATTCTGTTGAAGAGTTGTACTACTTTTTAGGAGGTCTGAATCCTTTGTTTTTCTCAAGCTGCGGGTAGTGATGTAGTTTTAGTTTCAAATTTATTCTAGGACTTTCTCAGCCACCAAAACGAGCATCGTGTACAAAGATACACAATGTCTTTTATATCTTTGACCTTGACATTAAATTGGAATTTCAAGTACTTCATCTTTCAATTTCCTGTTTAAACTGCTTCTCTTCTGACATATCATATGTAACGTATTCAGCTTTGATGTTCTTTCGGTAGGAATGAGTTGTTTCCAAGGACCTTCATCCCTTAAGAGGAAACGGCCAGAACTGAAATCTCCAGCTCAATCTCTGACTGAACATGAGCGTATCCTCTACGATGTGATTCGAAGCAAACAAGATATTGGAATCTGGACCAGAGATGTGAAGAAAGAAGCCAAACTTCCAGATAATGTGGTAAATAAATCTCTCAAGGCTCTACTGGTCAAAAATTTGATAAAAGAGGTGGTGAACATCCAAAACAAGGGGAGGAAACATTTCATGGCAACAGAGTTTGAACCCTCAAAGGAAATCAGTGGAGGGACTTGGTATCTTGAAGGGAGCCTTGATAGGGAGTTTATTGAGGCACTGAAGCAGCTATGTAAAGAACAAATAAGATTGTCTGGGGTTGCCACATTGGAGGAAGTTACAGACTCAATTAATAGACGTCAAGCCTTCAATGTTGGCATGACAAAACAGCAAATTGAAGAGATCATGAGGACTTTGGTTTTGGACAATGCAATCATGGAAGTGAAGAGTAATGGGATGGGTGAGTTTGCTTCTATTCCTTTTGGAAAAGTTTGCTATAAACGCATTGGCAAGGGAGGCCTTAGAGGGGAACCAAAAGCAGAAGCAGGGGCATTAGCTTCCATCCCATGTGGAGTTTGCCCACGGATAAGTTATTGTACACCTGATGGAATTATCTCTCCAAAGACTTGTGTTTACTTCAAGAAGTGGTTGGATTTTTAACTTCTAAGCATATTTTTCTTAAAAAACTTCTCTCATCGTTTCACATTTTAGATGTTGAAAATTTTCCTTTCTGGATACCATATTACCATTCATATAATAGCATAGTTTGCATTTTTATTAGTGCTCTCTTAAGTCCCCTATTGTTGTTCTCTGCTGCAATGTTATTAAGCTTCTTCATTCTTAATGTCCAGCGGCTCAGTTTCAACTTTGAGACTTCATGATATTTTGTAAATCTCTTCAGGAATAACAGTTAATGGTCTGCAAATACATATACCTAAATTCTGTTACGATTCTCTTGTTGCTTGAGGCGTAATGTGATTTCATTAGAAAAATAGATTTTACTAAATACATATACCTAATGCATCTTCCTGCTCTGGCATTGTTGGAACCAAAATGATGCTCATGTGATATGTTTTACTTTTCATTCTGTCATGGCTTCTTTTTGTTTCTTCAATTGTTTTTTGCTAATCATGCTCTAAAGCATATTCACCTACATTGTCACTTCTTTTCTTTTATGAGCATCCTCTATTATAACTTGAAGAAAGTCATATTTATGATGCTTTGTGCATGATTTACAATTACAGCTGCAAATTGCCATCTTTTTCCTTCACGTGAGATTCTGATTGGAATATTTTGACAATTTGGAGTGATGAAAGAAGTGAACGGCATCCAAATTTAGGACACTATGCACATGCATTTTGTTCTCACCAGGCTTAATGTCCTCAGATGATCCAAAGCTAATTATGATGGTTGTTCAATTGCTTTCCTATGTTCATATCCTTCCTGCTTTAATTGCGTAAACTGGAAATTACATTACAGAATGGACAAAAGTAGTTGGTCAATCTTTGGGTGCTAAATTAGGTATTGCATTGAAGAAGGTGCTGGTTGTTGAGTTGAGAGGTTGAGAGGATCATACACCCTCTAGCTTCCATGGACCATCACATAAATCAACCTCATCAAGGGACATGTTGCAAACTCCATCCTAAAACCTTCCCCTTTAGGAATTATCTCATCAGTTTTGTGCCAAAATTTCTACCATGAACAAGCTAAACACATTCCACATGGCTATGGAAAACATGAACAAGCTAGCAGGAATTGCATATATAGCATTTATTCTCCTACGTGCCACGCATTCCACATGGCTTGGAGAATGAGAAATTAAATTTAATGGCATAACATAAATTCTCTTGAATGTCACACATGAATGTGTTAGAAGGAAGGAATTGCATCAAACTCTTAATAGCATAACTTAAATTCTCTTGCATATCGCATATGAATGTGTTAGAAGGAATTGCATCAAACTTATTGGATAACCTCGAGCATAAAACAGCAACTTTTTCGGTTGACGATTATTGAGAATCTTTTTGGAGCTAGAAATGGATGACAGGTAAGCTATCACAATCTCCCAACACATTAAAGTTCACGATACTTATACACATTTATTGAAATCTCCAGTGCATTTGTATGGAAATCGAAACTTAGAATATCTTCATAGATAGAACCACAAGATGTAAAGTTACTATCAACAAACAGCTACGGCATCGTAGTTTTAAGTAACAACCTTTATATAATTTAATGATTTTAAAATATCTCATTATCGTTATTTTAATATTATAATAAATTGTAATCCGTGATAACGATTTTGATTATTTTGTCAACTATTCCCGATTTAAAACGGCACCACGAGTCGAGCGAGTTGGTTGACAACCTAAAGATCAATAATATGGACCAATTATTCCGGCCAAGAATGGAGGACAACTAGGGTTGCCAACCCCAAACACCAATCACGGCACATGTGTCAAATTTATGTGGGGCCTTGAATTGTATTATGCAATTAGAGTGAACATGAGTGCCCTTTGGCTAGCTAAGGGCTGACTAATAGAGTGCCAGTGTAATATTTTTCTAAAGGGAAGATAGCACAATCATGGAGAGCAAAAGAAGAAAAAAAGGGCAAAGGCTCCACCCCATTTTCGTGTATATATAAAAAGTATAAGCGTTAACCCATCTTGAAAAAGGCATTTTTGATGCTACCGTTTCTTAATTTGTTCAAAGTCATGGGCTGGAGTGCTGCCTTTTCCTGCCTAGCTTTCTAGCTTTCTGCTTGGTGGGGTGTTAGATGCCAGGCCTTTGCTGACTTCTCTTCTATGTGCGTTTCCAATCAAAAGATCAAAGCCTTAAATTATGACTCCTCTTGTCTATGACCAGGCCAAAATATCAAATAATATTCAACGTACCAGCCAGAGTAAAAAAAAAAAAAAAAAGAATCCAAAATTAAAAAATCCAAAACCTTTTTATTTATTATTGTGATGATTCCATGACCATGATAAGCATTTGGAATATTTTGCATAATTACATTTGCAAAGCACACAATCATTTTGAGCATTATTATTATTATTATTATTATTATTATATGCACTCATTATCAAAAGCAACTCTTAAATCGCCAAAATAAATAAATAAAGTAGAAAAAAGGTTTTTTTTTTTTTTTCCCTTTTTTGTAGTACTATTACATGAGCCATCACAGCATGGGATAGATGATTTCTGTGGTAAACCATCTTCCCGTGTGCGATAATTAGATGCTTCCCATCAAATTTGCTGAACTTGGCTTCTGAGACTAACTTGTTCTCAAACATATTGAATGTTTTTTTTTTTTTTCCCACGATAACTCTACTTTTTCTTTTTTCTCTTCTTTTCAGTTTTTGGAGTTTATCCACGTTTGGTTTTTTACATTTTCAATTTTTTTTATTGAGATCCTCTATAATTTTTTAGTTTGATTAAAATCCTTTATTCTTATAAATTTATTAATTTAAATCTTTCTTTAACTGTTTGTTCTACGTGACACTTTAAAATTAATGATAACTAATCAAAAATGAATATATGGCATAATGGATCCCAAGTACGAATAAATTATAGAGGTCTCAATATAAAAAAATTAGAAATGTACGAAGACTAAATGTGGGATAATTTTTTTTTTTTTTTTTTTTTTACTTTCAAATTTGCTGAACTTGGTTTCTCAGACTAACTTGTTCTCAAACACATTGAATTTTTTTTTTCGTGAAATTCACGACAACTCTTCGTTTCTTTTTTCCTTTCTTGTTTTTTTACTATCCAGAATATTTCGAATTAACTTGCATACCAACAGATGCTAAAATTTTTCCCAGTAGTTTTAACCATCCATCTTCTAATGTATAAATAAAATCCTCTTGTATAAATCTCAAAATTGAACAAAAGAATTTATAATCTACTGATAATGATTTTTTAATAAGAGATGAAGGATTTAAATTCTAGTAAACTAATAAGAAGCTTGGATGCATAAGGTATATATATATATATATAAAAAAAAAATCTCAAAATTAGAATCCAAATCCAGGCTGTATTCGGACATTGATGGTGTCCACATTGGCTGAAAACACATGCTCAAGATAGAGATAGAGCACGTTCACAATACATTTGCCAACACAAATTGCTACATCTGCTGATCTAGCTAGGTGTCTGCGGTTTTATGTCCCCAGTTTCGACAGAAAATATGAAACGGTGATGTACATGGGAAATTAAGAATAGGGTCCACAGGATTTACCAGTTGTGTTTCATTTTTGGCATGCAAATAGCATCATTGTAGTTAGTGCAATGTCCCAAGTCGATCCATGTCCAAAAAATTTCATGCCATCTTGCCATTCATACGTTGGTGTTTGCTTGTCCGTTCAAGAAACTTGCCCCACCTTGCATGGTTTGCCCATAAGCAGCAGGGGAATAAATAGATTAATTGTTTTTTGGGCTAATTGATAATAATTGATTTTGTATGAACATGAAGCTAAATGGTTCCAATCTAAAGAGCTCACCGACAATGGTAAGTGTGATTTCATGTTTGATAAGATTGTCTCAAGGAAACAAAAGACAAAGTTTATTAGTTTTTAGTTTAACTTTAATGTCAAATGGTTCTTCTCAAATATTTTTTATAATTATATATTCAAATTAAGTTCATTTTTTCGGCCCGTCTTCAAATTAGGTTATAATATAGGAGTTGATTATTTTGCTTTCAAGGAAACATGGATTAGCGATAAGGATGATCAACAAGGGACCATGGCCACGATATGATGAAAGTTCATTTGCTTTCGAACTTTTTTTCTTGGTTAGTGCAGTTTGAAGGTAGAAGAAAGCATCAGCCATCAATGGTGGATGATTGGTCATCCTTTCTGGAAGATTTTCGTCTATACAATAAAGAGAAAAACACGAAGTGCTCTACTTTCTAAGTCGATCGTGATGTAATTTATAAAGAGAGAGAAAAGTTGTTTATGATGTAGAACATACAAGTATGTCCATGTTCTCACGGATAAACCACGCATATATCCATCTTAAAATTGTTTCAGCGTTCTTGAGAAAAAAATAGTTAAAATTAAAAGTCAAGCAATTTTGAATATTCTGATTAGGGTTTTATATGTATCGATAACTTTTATAATTTTATTTTTTTTATTAAGATCTTAAGTTTTCTTTTTTCAATTTAAAATTTTTACTTTTATATTATTGTTTCAAAATTAACACATCACGTAAGTTATTATTGGCTCGAGCTTGTCATAACTTGTGACAAGTTTTAGTCAATGATAACTTATCACGTCGTCAATTCAATCTTTCAATTTAAGCTCATCATGACACATGACAAGTTGTTATTGGCTCGAACTTGTCACAACTTGCAACGTGTGTTTACGAGTTATATTAGGATTTGAAATAAAAACATAAAAGTAGAACTCTTAAATTTGACAGAAAAACTTTAGGATTTTAATTAAAAAAATCCAAATTGATTACCAATTTCTATTTTTCTCTAAGAAAAAACCCATAAAAAATAAGAGTAAATTATAAATTAGTTCTTCAAATTTCGAGATACGAATTAATTAGTTATTTTTACTTAAAAAATTAATTATTTAGAATTTTCTTACAACTTCAATATTTTTATTTATTTTCAATTTTTTTGATATAAAAAGACAATAAAAAAGTAAAAGATATGA